GATCTTGTTTGATTCAAACTGAAACCTTTAAGCTCTGATTTTGGAGGCATGATATAGCATTTCCTATTTTCCATGCAACAAGAAGTACCAGATCAGAAACTTAGGTTCTTCCAGTGCTGATATATATGAGTCTGTTGTGGATTCCCTGATAGTTTGCTTAGCCTCAAGTCTTACCTGGGATTTCCTGCTGCTCCTTTTTCTTTTAAAATGTCTGTTTTCTTACATGCTCCACAATCTGTCCTGCTCATTGCCCTCAGTTTGCTTGGCAGCCACCTGACACTCGGGTAGTGGGGATTTGACCTAACTTTGCCAATGGGTAACTGAGCCCAGACTGAGATACCTACAGGTATCCTGATTTCTGACAAAAGCATTATTTCTGCTAATGTTCCAGCCTTCCCCATAGAAAATAACTCTGCTGATATCTTTTCAACAGTCACTTGTTGGTACAGTCCTGGGCAACTCAGTTGCGTGCAACTCAATCGATACAATCCAGTCATGACTCGCAGACTTTTCATATCATTCCTGGGGCTTCCCCTGAACAATGCATATTGGCTGTGACCTATTCATTTTTTCAGATATTCCTGCCTAGGGGAGTCACTAATAACTGTGCTGAGATGTACTTAGTGGTTTTCTGCTACGTGCAGCTGAGAGTAACACTCAGGCCGCAAAAAATAATTTTGCTCTTGGCCTTTGGATATCACATAGCATCTAATAATTCAAGAGATAAAATGTATTTGCAGAAAAAAACCCATGAACTAATCCTAATATCTTCAGAAATATCACCTGCATTTATTTATAAGGCTGTTTATTGAACTTAACTTCAGCAACCGACTTGCTTGAGTGCAAATCCATTTTCCTAAGCCCTCTTCAGGTGTACTGGTATTTAGGCATGTGACTAGTGATACAACGGGAAAGATGTGTGCTAGTGCCAATATATGTAAATGATATGCTTGCCATGCTTCTTTTCAGTACTGCACTAAATGGATTGCAAAACCTTGAACTGTATTGAGCTTGTAATAGAGAGGATCTGTTAACCTCAGGAGATTCCAAACGTATCTGATCAGATTGCACAAACCTGGTCGTGTTGGATTTTCCTGTGTATTTCTTGAGTAGAAACCCAGCTGTTCCAAGTCCCTTAATTTCAGAGGTATAGTTGGGGGATGGTGTCCTGACTTGCATGCCAGATGAGAACTGAGCATAGCAGCACTGGGAAGTGAGGATACTCCCAGTTATACTGGAGAACTGCTTAGGACAAGATGAAGAAACAAATCAAGCTTTGCCATCCACTTTTAGAGTTGATGCTTTTTTAGCCACAGTCCAGCATGTGCCTAAAAACCCTCTTGGAATATTTCTGGATCACGCACTTTTCAGACTTCAGAGCAAACAATTACTGATTTTGCTTATGAATCAAATGCCACAGAAGTCTTGAAGTAGCTCTTAAGAAAACCATCCCATGGTTGTGAAGCTTCAGGGCTGTAAGAGTAGCATTCAGTTATTTTCCTTTTTCAGCTCACAATTTCAAACTTTAAGAAGACTGCCTTACATTTACTATCCAAATAAACTCCAGGGACAGAGTTCCAAACAGAAGAAGCAGGAAAGCTGACAGGGTAGTATTGTTCCGCTAAACTTTTATGTAACTGTTTAAGTGCTGTAAACTGCCATAGATCCATTGCACTTGATGGAAAAAATTATAGCAACTGGGCATCTACCCTGGGTACTTAACATGATTACAGTCATTGGCCAGCATGTCTGTGATGGGGCACTCCACAGAGTGTATGTCTTGTATTCTCAGTAATGGGTGTGGAGGATCATTCTTACTTCTCCTCCCTCTGCAGTTTATATTCTGTTTCACCTTTTAAATACTTCTAGAAACAGTTCAGAATCAGTGGGAAATTGAGCTTTTCTTAGAAGACAGAGAAGGTAGAGAGTCTGACTCATCACTACAGTACTCTGGCTTTAGGAGTTTTACAAAACTGCTGGTTTCCATGGGATTCCCCTGGCATAGGTGAATAGATTCTGCTGCTTTTTCTACACTGTGACAGTTACACAGTAGCCCCTCAGCAAAGCGAAGTTTTCAGTTGTTGTTGTTATTCTAAAGGCAAAATGTGAATACTACCTACAGCTCAGATGAGTCAGCTCTGATAAACATGAAGAGACTAAAAATACTTCATTCAGAGCCCACAAGTGGAGGCATGGATACTGGTTTTAATAAGCAGCAACCCTCTGCACATTGGAAAGCACCCAAGTGGTTTATTGAACTCAGATTTCCCATATGTCGCTCTACTTTCATATATTCTTTTTGTTCCTCTCTATGAATTTAACACATTTCTAGTATAATCACTAATTAACCTGGCAAACAACTGAGCCCCCTAGGGCTTTCGCAGTGCTGTATTCATTAGGCTTGCAATGTCTGTTTTTCTGTACTTACTGTTTCTAATTGAGTAACATCCTACATATCTATCCATTTTTGGCTTTTATTCTGCCCATATGTGCAGCTCTGCCCCTCACCAGAGAGAGGTTTTGTTTCATGCTGCACGAGCAGACAGACTTAGCACCTTTTGTCTATAAATTAGAAGCATCATTTATGGATCTGCCAGGCACCAACTCCAGTAAATGACCTTAAATTAACTTATCAGTGGGACTTGTGCTCTCTCTTACTGCTCTGTGCTTGAATTGAGTAGGTTGAACCTTCTGTCCTAAGTCCTATGGTGATTCCACTAAAACCATTGCAATTACACCGCTGGGGGCGGGGGGGCGGGCTGGGCCGGGCCAGAAATCAGACCCAATGAAGAAAGGTGAGCATATGTAACTAAGTCAGACCACGAACACTGTTTGGAGGGATAACTTGGATAGAAGTAGACGTTTTCTCTACTGTCCAACTTGTTTTTAAGGTCATCAGTTAATCTTGCTTTCCTTTTCCCCCTTGGATGTCTGGATTGCTCAGTAAAATAAGGATTTGCAGCATCTTTATAGATCCAGCCAGGTCTTCTTTCCTTTTGTGTGCATGCTAATTATGATGAGCTAAGGGGGATGAGCTAAGGGGAATGGTGGGAAAAGTCTCAGGTAGGAGATCTGGATCTTCTGCAGAGCATTTCCTCCAGAAATGTAGGAAATAGAGCCACCTAGTAGAGGTATCATCACTTACAACAGTTTTCACACTTGCTTTAAGGAGAGAGTCTCCTGTGGTTGGCTGATGACTTGCAGAGGCATGTGTCTGTTTGTATTCAGGGCAAAAAAGCTAATTGTTTCTGTTCTGCTTCCCTTTGCAGTGAGTTTGTATCATGGCTCACAGAGATTGGAGAGATAAGCAAACCAGAGGAAGGGGTCAACCTGGGACAGGCACTATTGGAAAATGGAATCATTCATCATGGTGAGTGCTCCATGCCATAAAGAGATGTCAGATTTCAGTAATGCTCTGGAAATGAGGGTGGAAAACTGACTGCAGCTGTTCACATGATGTTCAAATACTTTCCTGTACCATACTCATCAAATCCTCAAAATGTTTAATGGCTTTTGGGATTAATGAGTGGGCAAATTTATGTCATGAAACAGGACTTGTTGGGTATCCCGAAAGTGTTTATGCCTGCAGTTGCTTGATTTCTCTGCAACATCTTTGTTGCGGACTATATCAGGTGTATATTCCTTTGTACTTTGTGTGTTTGAAAATCTATAGTGATCAATAAATAAATTTCCATATGAGACATCAGCCATACAGAGGATAGTCGAGCAGTACTCTTTTAGAATGGGGCACAGGTACGAACAGAGTGAGGGGCTCCAGATGATGGGTCATTCTTTCTAATGAGACTGCTTGTCATAAAGAAAAGAGATGATGGAGGGTTTGTTGTGGGATTTGGTCTTTCCAGCTCATTTGGCAAGAATGTCTCTCTTTAAAATAGTGATGCACCATATTTCTTCATCACACCCAGCAGATGACCTTGAAGTGTTATGATGAGGGGTATTTTAGAAGAGTAGGGTAGTGCATACAGAAGTGTTGCATGACCAAAGTAGCACAAGATGCTTGTTTGAAAATTTTCTGTGCTATCTGCATTTCTACTAAAATAAGGTCTTTCTCCAGATTACATCCTTTAAATCCAGGTTTGTCCTGCTGTTCCCTATTACTTTCATATTATGTTATGCAGACAGAGCAACATAGACCTATTCTAGTTAAACAGCAAATGCCCTAATTTCAACTTTCAGGTGAGTTTAGCTGCAAAATGCACATCAAAGGAATAAGGTATATAGGTCTTAAGTCACCAGTGGTCTACATTTCCATACAGTCTCTTGGAAACCAATTTAAATAGGGGAGCCATTTAATTAGGCTAGTCTTGCTTTAATCTCTTGGTAACTCAGCTCCACAAACTTGTCTTTGAGGTGACTGTAACACTGTTAAGAAATGATGTCTGTTACTTTCTTTTAATTAACACATAGAGAAATTTAATATGAGCAGTACCATAATCTTTCATGCACATACACTTCCACCCCCAGTTACCAAGACATACTTTCAGGCACATTCAGACTTTGAAGGGCTTTGAGCATGAGCTCAAAAGCACTGAACGTTTTTGAGTACTTGGCCCTAACTGTGACTTTGGAGAACTGAAACACTCTGGCTCCAATGTGTAGGGATCCTCCTTTGGATGAAGAATGCTCTTTTGCACTCACACCTTTACCTGCCTACATTCTGAATGTGTCCGCTTGCACTGTTGATGCAAAAATCTTTCCTGAGACGTCTTATTTCATGATGACTGTTTACCTTGCCATAATTTCATACTTTGACACTTTCAGCATTGTCCTTTTACTCTAAACACAAATTTACAGCTCAGAGAAAGTCGTGCTGTTATATCTACTGCTCCCCTTATTCAAATGCCCTGCATAAGATGCATCTGGTTTGGTTTTAATGTTACCTTTAGTTAGAGTTCCTGATGTTAGCGTCTCCAATGACAGTTATTGCTAGACATTGGAAGGTATTTGCAATGCTGCATTTACTTAAGGAAATATCCCTTGAGATTTTGATAAATCATTAGACATGAAAGTATCCCATTATGTGTCTCCTAATGTAGCGAGAACTTAAAACGTAAGCACCATAATGAAGCCCTTACCCCTATTCTACATTAGCCAATATCTTTTATCTTTTGTTTTCACTTGGCATAACATTACTGTCAGGTGAAAGCTGTTGATCTCTCAGCCTGCCTGAGAAGCAGGGCCAGAGAAGATTGCTAAATGCTGAGCTCTGTGCTAAGTGCTGAGCTCTGTGTGTTTTATCACTCAATTTCCTCTGTATCTGCTTTAATTCTGTCTATTTTATCTGGGACTGCTGATGTGGAAGTTCTGGTACCCGTCACAGAGAGCAGAAGTGATCAGAACCTGATCTGCTCTGTACCAGACACAAAAGATGCTTTCTGCAGACTCGGTTCTCAATTGGATTTAGAAATACAAAATCCAGAGTGTGCAAACACTCAAAGAAGTCAATAGCTTACACAGCTTAGAGATTCCACTGTATACAAAAGGATATACACCAGATCCTGCAAATTTTGTTTTACTCTGAAATTAAGGAAAAATACCACCAAAAGCCAGAATCTTCATTAAATATTCATAGAAAAGGTTGTCCTGTGTAAGGTGGGAAGGTCTTAAGAATGTCTGGTCTCTGCCTTCTAAACAATTATCCTGCCCACTCTGCAAGGGGCAGACTAAATCTCAATCTGAGTCCTGGTACTTCTGAGTCTGCCTAACCCAGTTTTATTGTCTTTAGTCATCCAGTACAATCAGTTTTCTCAAGTTAATCAAACTCAGGCTAAGGTGCATCTTAAATAGTGTAAATCCATATTTTCTCTCAGTTCATCAAATGCTGTGCCTACACTGTGAAATACTGCATCCAAAATATTCAAGGGTGCTCTAGCACAAAGATCTGGCCATGGTTTTGTTACATTGGCAAAGGCAGGAAAGATTACAGTGACTAAGCTACCCCAGCTTATCTGCTGTCTGCTTTGCTTGCTCTTCTCTAGATTTCCTCCTCCTTCTCTACATAGTTGTAACTGGTCTCCATTAAATTAAGCTGTGAACAATGGCATTTCTATACTACGTATTGTAAAATCTGGAAGAGACACTATTATTATTTTGAATTTGAACAGTCATTAGCGCTTTTTACTTGTAATTACCACTTATTTACTAATCTGTGAAACAAATAATTTCTACTAGTTACTAAATTACTATCTTCAGCATGAGGGTTTCCCACCTCCATGTTCTGTTGAAATAGTTTACCTTAGAATAGAAACAGGATAAACCTACGTATAATTGGATATAGACTTCAACCCTCTTCCCGTATGGTGCATCGGATAAATCTGTTTGAAACTGGGTACGGTTTTTAATTCTTTTCTGATTTTGGCCAATGCTTCTTTTGAAATGGTTCCTTATCACACTGAAACATCTTTTGTGTCCTTGTCTTTAAAGCCTATCAGTATATAGCATTACCCAATAAGATTTTAACTGCCCTACTGTGGAATGGCTATTCTGGGTGAAAAAGCAGTCTCTCAAAAGTACTATTTAATTTTTAGAAGGAGCTCACTAGTAAATACAAGAACCATGGTAGAAGAATACCTCTAACAGCTGTAGTTCCTCCCACCAGCCTGCTTTTGCTTTTGGAGTTGCAGAGCTTTAGGCAACTGCAAAAATGACTTCAGTGCTGTGATAACTGTTGTGGGAATTTGCAGGCACTTTGTTCAAAACTTATCAATAAAAGTCAGACGGTCCAAATTACCTTCACAAGAACTGTTTCCGAAGCCTTACATAAATTGAATCTGGGTACAAGGAAGACATTTCAATTTTACTGGAGCTGCAGTATTTTAGAAAACTGCTTTTGTTGGTGGAGCTATTCAGAAGTGCACATAAGCATATATATATATATACACACACAATAAGGGGAAATTTGAAGAGCTGAGTCCTCTCTTCAGAAAATGATAGATACCAGCAAATCCTTAGGTGTATACGTACCGACTGGCCTATGAAGAACATGGCAGGGGAGAAAAGACTAACTTTAATTATCATACTGGTGTTTTAGTTTCAGATAAGCACCAATTTAAGAATGAGCAGGTGATGTACAGATTTCGCTATGATGATGGAACGTACAAGCCAAGAAGTGAATTGGAAGACATCATGTCCAAGGTTTGTATTATCATTCTTAGTTGGAACCTTATGATTTGCATCAAAAGAGTTTGCTCTACCTCTGAATGTCATTGACCTGTTATATAGGAGATCCCTAATGCCGTTTATTGTATTAAGCTATCCATCCTAATGCCATAGGAGACATTCACTCTAGGGAGAAGAAGCACAGCTTAGCAATAAATAACAATACGGTTGTGACTGCACCCAAGACTGCTGATTACAATCCTAATGTAGTAACAAAAGGTCTTAAAAGAAAACAGTAGGCCATAATACAGCATGTCTGCTGAAAATCTGGGCATTATGGTTCAGGGAGATAGAAGAGATCAATATTTAAGTGCTGTTTTTGATAATTGTATGTCATGATTTCTGTTGATCCCATATCTGCCCATATACCTTTTAATAAATTGGATTTCTTCTTATGGATATCAGTTCATGGGTTAATTTTGAGGAAGGATTAATGGAGAAAATGTTGGAATAGAGGTGATTTAGAGATAAAAGAACAGATTTTTTGGCTTCTGGAGGCAGGGAAAGAAGAAAGAATGTTTCACAGAGAGGATAAGGTAACTGTTTTGAAAAACAGTTAATCAATAGATAATTCCAGCTGAGTAGAGACATCAGTGCCCAGGTTTTGCTAGCTTTAGCTGGTCAGTGTTTCTTTGCAAAGGAAAAAGCTGATAATACCATGCATCTTTCCTTCTTCAGGGTGTGAGGCTCTACTGCCGACTACACTGCCTATATACTCCAGTGGTAAAGTAAGTTCACCTTCATGATCCCCTTGTTATGTATTATCTGGCTTTGTTAAAAGGATGACACATTACTATTGAAATCTTTCTTCTTTCTCATTATAAACAGTAATTTTCTGCATTTTCTTGGCTCTTTTCTCTACCCTTCTATCTCCACAGTTTAGATTTGTAGTTGTGCTTCTGCTGGAGGATGTTGGAACTGGGTTCTGGGAGAGTGAAAGGCTAGTGTTACCGTCTTCGTGACATTTGCTTCCTCTATCAGATCATGAGAGAGCTGTTAGCATGACACAAGTTTGTTTACTCTGGCATTTTCTGTGAGTTAAAGTAGGTGTGATTAATAAGTGACTGCTGATTCAGGGCAGATTGTGCAGTGTGATTGTAGCTGCTGTATTATTTGGGTTGTAGAAAATGTAAACAGATGCTAAAGTGATGTAAACAGATTCCAATGTGATGCTAGGATTCTTTCATTCAAAGCACCCTAAACAAACAAAAACCAATCTGAAGTGGAATAAAACCTGAAGCTGTGATTTGAAAAAACCCTGAAAATTTTGGGTGGAATCTTCAGAACTTAGCTCTGTATAAATAAATGCTAAAGAATTGAGATAATCTGCAAGTGCTAGTTAACTCTCTTCCCAGATCCCAGGAGGTGATTTTCAGATGTTGTTGCCTTACTGTGACATCAGATGAACATTTCTGGCCTATAATGGAAAACACCCTGAGCCATGTAGGTGTTCTGTTTAGGTGTTTATGATTGAAAATTAGGCATTTTCACTTAGGAGAACTTCATTTTTACATACAAAAAACTGATGAGGAAGAAAAAAACCTCTGGTGGGCATGGCTGGGGTCCCAAATGCAATAAAACTGACCTCTTGTCCCTGAGTTGTACAACAGATGTTTCACTGAGAGATGTCATCGTCATGCTAGAAGGAGCAGCAAAGGTAGTTACAGTTCATCAGTCATAAATTTGCCTAATTAGATCTCTGTTTTTTCCCCAGAATAGCCATTCTACAATAACACAGATTTCAGTTAGCCTAAAGGGTATGGAGGGAGCAGGAAAACATGATGCAGCCCTTGGTAGGCAAAATGGTTATGTGTATGCATGTGTGTATTTGCACATACACATTTTATCCCTTAAGATGGCAATTCACATGCAGAGTAGGCAATAATGGTAAGTGAAGCTGAAAAAATTTCACTGACCTCAGGGTACCCACAAACTGAAAGGGATGTAGTCTTATGCTTTAGGGAATCAACAAGGACAAAGTAACTACCATAGGCCTGTCTTGTGGTGTTTTATCAGTGGGCTATTTTTGTAATAGAATCCCAGCTGGAGAATATTCTAATATCAGGATTAATCTGTGTTAGACACACATTAGTCTAAACTGTGTATGACCAGTGAAAAATAGCAGACTGTCAGAAGTTTTAGGAACCTTCTGGATAGACTTAACGTTCTTAGTGTGTTCAGGCTCTTCTTCCCACCATTCTCTGTCCTACTCACTCTTCCTTTTATCTCCCTGTTAGAAAACTGAATCTCCTATGCTGTCATCCTTTCATGTCGTCTTATCATGTCTTTTTGCCTCTGACAAGCCTAATGTTAACCTAAAGGAGCTGGGTTTTAGCCAAGCTAGTTGTGCAAAGCCTATTACTTTCAGCTGTGCCTTCGGACCACTGCTTTATCTGGCATCTTCAGACTGCTGGTTCTGCAATCATGCTAGCAAGGTTGATGAGGCCTTACTTTTGTGGTGCAACCTTCCTTCTAGAAAATCGGCAAAACTGCTTAGAGTAGCAGGTGCATGTGCCAAGAGGATCTGGAGGAATCGTAAAGTTCAAAATTCAATTATTTTGACAACCTTGGAACATAATTTTGCTTAGTTGTCTTCCCTGGAAACCTGGGAGTTTCCATGTAGCCTTTGCCTTTATAATCTTCTTTAAGTAAACTGACACTAATGTACTTTGAGGATAAGATGATATACCCCACTGGAAACAAAGCATGCTACTTTGGGGGATGATACATAAAAAGTAAAACATTTTGAAAAATCTTAGATGTAGAGAAGGTTCTGAATATGTCTCTGATCTACTTCGGGGAAGTTGTGAGGGTGGGAGAACTTGCTCACACATACATATGTGATGGACAATACTTCAGTGTGTAGATGGGCTAGACGCTGTGAAGAACATTATATTCCTCTAGTTTCTGTGAGGCAGCAAGGTTCTGCCAAAATTTCAGTGGTTCCTACATCTATATTTGACTATTCACCTGCAGCTCATGGTTATGGATAACATTCTATGATTCATGCTCTACTCTTGTTCAGGCTAGATTGAAATGGGGAGAAAAGTCAGTGAACTAATGTTGAAATATTTATCCTGACAAGCATTTAGCTACAAGCAGTAAAAGACTGGGCCTTGGACCAAGATCCTGATGCCAGCTTATTCAAAACTCTAGCTCTGTGTCAGCATCTGTATTAAAATGTTGGGAGTTGCTTCTCACAATCTGGAAACCCCTACTCATTAGTACTCAATATTTTAATGCTTTGCTATATTGTTCTGACATTTCAAAAGCACATTTTCTCAAGATAAGAGTGTGAGAGGGAAAAACTGCCCAGAAAACTCCCACAGTTTTGTGCTGGGTTTAGCACATTACTGGAAGACAAGTCGAAAAATGTGTGTAAGCATTATGAGGAAAGCTTTTGTTCTGAGGACACATATTTCTGGAAATGCTGTCATGTTTTTGTTTTTGTTTTTTTCCAAGTTCTGAAAGTCCTGCTTCCCTTTCTAATTTCTCACACCCTGCATTCTGCAAACACGCAGGCATTTCTGATGCATTTATTTACAAAAGCCAGTCACAACGTATTTGTATCTGTAGATGATTAGGAAAAGAAAAACATGAGTAGGATGAATTTTAGATGGTGGTTTGATTTTAGATTTTTAGAAAAAAGGAAATACCACATGGTGTGGTGCTAATGAAAGAGGTTGATTTGACAGAACTGAAGAATAAAAAAAGTCTTCTCTTGAGCTGCTGTATAGATACATCCGGACTGTAAAACAGCCACAGTTTTACACTGTTGGCCGCAGCCAACAGTGAAAGTTTCCTTCCACAGTCATGCCAGTGGACCTCAAGCTTGAAATAGAAGGACCACCTCCAAGGGTGAGAGAGGAATTAATTCTTCATAGCCATTCAGCATTTGGCCTCTCTACTGAGACTCTCAACAAGAGGGAGCCAATTAATGCAAATTAATTGTGGTAATGGCTTTTGTGATGTGGAACTAGGAACTGGATCAAGACCACCAAACTTATTTCACGTGGGCCAGTAAACAGCCTTACAATGGAAAGAGCTTTTCATTCTCTCATGAGCTGGATTAAATCCAGTGACCTGGAGGTGAAAGGTGTTAGAGCCCAATGTCCTCAGCCACATAGTCCTCTTATACTTGTATCAAAATTCTTTAGAAGTATTTTATGAAAGACTAAAAACATCAATTATCTACATGGCTCTGAGAAGAAGAATGGAAGAAAACTGCTAAATGCAGCAAGTTACAATAGGGTTTCTTTTGCTTATTTCAGGAACGGTGCTGCTGTCTACAAGGGCTGTGTGTGAGATGGTGCAAGTTGTGTTACAAGACCTAAATACAACACGTCTTTTTTTATTTACAATGCCTGAAATTATCTAATGCCATAACAGAACACTGTGTACTCTATTTGTATCTGGCTACTTTGTGATATTTTGCTAAAGGAAGTAAAATCTGAACAGGTGCGGAGAATCAGGAAAACCTCTCAACAGAGTAGGCTAAAAGGTGCTTAATTCAGTGAGCCTAAGAAAAAGGGGGCACAGAGGGAATATGTAGGGTCATCGTCTATGAATACACTGATGGGTAAACACTAGAGAAGAACTATTTAAGCTTATAGATGGGTCTGGCACTGAGCCAATAAACGTAAACTGGACATGAATGGATTTAGGATGGAAACCAGAAGGTGTCTGCCAGCCAGAAGAATGTGATTTTCAGCAGGACCGATGGTGGCAATATTCTAACCTGAGTTAAAGAAGCAGCTCAGTACATCTGTAAAAAGGATGTCCTGGTTGCCTCTGGCAGGAATATGAGCTCTCTGAAGATGGCTTGAAACAACATGTAGAGAAATTTGAAATAACGCTGCTCTGTATTGGTCTGAAATATCTTCCTAATTCAAGTTGTTAGAAAAGTTTAAAAACTAGTCTTTTCTTCTAGAGAAAAAGGATATCTGCTTCCTATTCTTTGTCTTATTTATTTGTGGCTGGGAGTCTCTCTTTTTTTTCCATCTATAATTCTTCTTTCCTCAACTTCATAATAGTAGGTCACAATAGTATATGTAGGTTTAGAGTGTAAAAGAAACGTTTACCTTTTTGTCCCAGACTGCTGGTTCTGCAATCATGCTAGCAAGGTTGATGAGGCCTTACTTTTGTGGTGCAACCTTCCTTCTAGAAAATCGGCAAAACTGCTTAGAGTAGCAGGTGCATGTGCCAAGAGGATCTGGAGGAATCGTAAAGTTCAAAATTCAATTATTTTGACAACCTTGGAACATAATTTTGCTTAGTTGTCTTCCCTGGAAACCTGGGAGTTTCCATGTAGCCTTTGCCTTTATAATCTTCTTTAAGTAAACTGACACTAATGTACTTTGAGGATAAGATGATATACCCCACTGGAAACAAAGCATGCTACTTTGGGGGATGATACATAAAAAGTAAAACATTTTGAAAAATCTTAGATGTAGAGAAGGTTCTGAATATGTCTCTGATCTACTTCGGGGAAGTTGTGAGGGTGGGAGAACTTGCTCACACATACATATGTGATGGACAATACTTCAGTGTGTAGATGGGCTAGACGCTGTGAAGAACATTATATTCCTCTAGTTTCTGTGAGGCAGCAAGGTTCTGCCAAAATTTCAGTGGTTCCTACATCTATATTTGACTATTCACCTGCAGCTCATGGTTATGGATAACATTCTATGATTCATGCTCTACTCTTGTTCAGGCTAGATTGAAATGGGGAGAAAAGTCAGTGAACTAATGTTGAAATATTTATCCTGACAAGCATTTAGCTACAAGCAGTAAAAGACTGGGCCTTGGACCAAGATCCTGATGCCAGCTTATTCAAAACTCTAGCTCTGTGTCAGCATCTGTATTAAAATGTTGGGAGTTGCTTCTCACAATCTGGAAACCCCTACTCATTAGTACTCAATATTTTAATGCTTTGCTATATTGTTCTGACATTTCAAAAGCACATTTTCTCAAGATAAGAGTGTGAGAGGGAAAAACTGCCCAGAAAACTCCCACAGTTTTGTGCTGGGTTTAGCACATTACTGGAAGACAAGTCGAAAAATGTGTGTAAGCATTATGAGGAAAGCTTTTGTTCTGAGGACACATATTTCTGGAAATGCTGTCATGTTTTTGTTTTTGTTTTTTTCCAAGTTCTGAAAGTCCTGCTTCCCTTTCTAATTTCTCACACCCTGCGTTCTGCAAACACGCAGGCATTTCTGATGCATTTATTTACAAAAGCCAGTCACAACGTATTTGTATCTGTAGATGATTAGGAAAAGAAAAACATGAGTAGGATGAATTTTAGATGGTGGTTTGATTTTAGATTTTTAGAAAAAAGGAAATACCACATGGTGTGGTGCTAATGAAAGAGGTTGATTTGACAGAACTGAAGAATAAAAAAAGTCTTCTCTTGAGCTGCTGTATAGATACATCCGGACTGTAAAACAGCCACAGTTTTACACTGTTGGCCGCAGCCAACAGTGAAAGTTTCCTTCCACAGTCATGCCAGTGGACCTCAAGCTTGAAATAGAAGGACCACCTCCAAGGGTGAGAGAGGAATTAATTCTTCATAGCCATTCAGCATTTGGCCTCTCTACTGAGACTCTCAACAAGAGGGAGCCAATTAATGCAAATTAATTGTGGTAATGGCTTTTGTGATGTGGAACTAGGAACTGGATCAAGACCACCAAACTTATTTCACGTGGGCCAGTAAACAGCCTTACAATGGAAAGAGCTTTTCATTCTCTCATGAGCTGGATTAAATCCAGTGACCTGGAGGTGAAAGGTGTTAGAGCCCAATGTCCTCAGCCACATAGTCCTCTTATACTTGTATCAAAATTCTTTAGAAGTATTTTATGAAAGACTAAAAACATCAATTATCTACATGGCTCTGAGAAGAGGAATGGAAGAAAACTGCTAAATGCAGCAAGTTACAATAGGGTTTCTTTTGCTTATTTCAGGAACGGTGCTGCTGTCTACAAGGGCTGTGTGTGAGATGGTGCAAGTTGTGTTACAAGACCTAAATACAACACGTCTTTTTTTATTTACAATGCCTGAAATTATCTAATGCCATAACAGAACACTGTGTACTCTATTTGTATCTGGCTACTTTGTGATATTTTGCTAAAGGAAGTAAAATCTGAACAGGTGCGGAGAATCAGGAAAACCTCTCAACAGAGTAGGCTAAAAGGTGCTTAATTCAGTGAGCCTAAGAAAAAGGGGGCACAGAGGGAATATGTAGGGTCATCGTCTATGAATACACTGATGGGTAAACACTAGAGAAGAACTATTTAAGCTTATAGATGGGTCTGGCACTGAGCCAATAAACGTAAACTGGACATGAATGGATTTAGGATGGAAACCAGAAGGTGTCTGCCAGCCAGAAGAATGTGATTTTCAGCAGGACCGATGGTGGCAATATTCTAACCTGAGTTAAAGAAGCAGCTCAGTACATCTGTAAAAAGGATGTCCTGGTTGCCTCTGGCAGGAATATGAGCTCTCTGAAGATGGCTTGAAACAACATGTAGAGAAATTTGAAATAACGCTGCTCTGTATTGGTCTGAAATATCTTCCTAATTCAAGTTGTTAGAAAAGTTTAAAAACTAGTCTTTTCTTCTAGAGAAAAAGGATATCTGCTTCCTATTCTTTGTCTTATTTATTTGTGGCTGGGAGTCTCTCTTTTTTTTCCATCTATAATTCTTCTTTCCTCAACTTCATAATAGTAGGTCACAATAGTATATGTAGGTTTAGAGTGTAAAAGAAACGTTTACCTTTTTGTCCTGATTTTCCCTGAATTCTCTTTCTTAGAGACCGCGACTACCACCTAAAGACCTACAAATCAGTAATCCCTGCAAGTAAACTAGTGGATTGGCTTATTGCACAGGTAAGAAAATTTTAAGATACTGCTGTCTGACAAGTAGCTTAATTTTTCAGTTCCGTTTAAAAGTAAATAAAACATGTTTATCTAGAGAACATAATTAAACATATTCTGATTCTTTGAACTTAAATTCTTACGCTTTCTGGTATTATTCATTTGGTGAAAACTTATTATTTGGCAGCATAAAGAAGTCCTTTGTTAGCCCTAGGAGTGGTGAACTGTCTGTTCTCAGGGATCTTTTCTATTTCTTGTGATTTTCTGAAGACATTTAAAGCAATGTCGATCTCATTTAATCTTGTATAGGTGTGATACAATTTTATTGAAAAATGAATCTAGAGTTTTACACCAACAACTACACCATTGTCTTTAGAAATTGTAGTTGCCCCACATTTACCTTGTAATTACAGAGAAGAGCCCGTAGCTTGGGAAATTAAAAATTTAGCTTTGATAGTCTAAAGCAATCTAAAGGGACATTGCGCCGTGTTGCTCACCATCGTGGAGTCAAATGCACATTCTGCTTTTGTCTTAAATGATGGTTTGATTCACAATGACATTGAGTCCTATACTGCCAAAATGACATAAAGGGAAGCTAGTTTGAATGAGAATCAGGCCTCTGACAACCAGGGATGTTGTCCTTCAGAAATGTTTCCTGCAATTGCATTTGACATCCTCCTACGTTAATAAGATTGATATGATTTAAGGTTGTTCTGTGCCAAATAATTGAATGAGAATGGAGTAGTCAATTGTTTTCCTGTTAAGCGCATAGAGGAGAGCAAGGATATTAGTACTGAGATTGTCATATCACTTACATGTGATTTAATGGGGTATTATTCATGGAAACCTGAGGGGAAAAAAAAATCTGCTTTGGCCAAAGAAGAGAGATGTAATCAGGCTAATCCAGCCAATATAATAGTTAATCATAGAGCTGCTGTAGGCAGTAGAAAGACTCAGATAGCGAGGGAAAACATCAGCTCTTGGTCTGGAAAAGGTAGCTCATTTTCTTCCCCATTTTTCTTCATTCTAGTAGGTTAATCTGGCTGTTAGTTCTCCTGTTTACTGAGCTGTACATTAAGGTTGAACCAGAATGTACTAAAGCCAGCTATGGAGATACAGAAGACTGTAATTTATATTGTGTATGTGTGTGCATACATACATGTATACAGATGCAAAGATGAGGGAAATTTCTTCTGTGCTCAGTTAAAGGGCAACATTGTTAAACATGTAAATCACTGTCTGTGACTTAGCCACATAGACAGGAATTCATCTAAATGAATCTTTGCTCGTAGATCCTTACAAATAGTAATTTTCATGGGGGTTTGCTTGGAGTTTTCATACTAGATTGAACTATTTTCTAGCAACCATTCGTACTTTGGCCGTATTAGCTAACAACAGATATTAGTGGGAGCTAATGAACACTCAGCTTTTTGCAGAGTAGTGCATTTATTTAACTGCTCAAATATCTACCTTTCTGTTTAACTTTAGCTATCTGTTCTTGAAAATCTTGGGGATGGTGTCTGGTCTGATAATTACCTGTTACACAAAAATGCTGAGATATATTTATTTCTGTTTCTGACAATCAATTTGCATCATGATTTTTATTTAGAAATGGTGCACAAAAAAAGTGAGGACTATTGTTTCTGTTAGATTTAGTGGCATAGGGATGACTGTCTTGAATGATAGTCTCTCTCATTTCTGTTTGCAATTTAGACTATAAATGCCAGTGGGAGCCCTCCCTAATGAGAAAGCTGTTTTTCATTTCCTTGACCTTTACAAATATTCATAAGACTGAACAGAGCAAAAGAGTAAGAACTTTTTTTATAATGAAAGAAACAGCATCAACTGTGTTTTGTACCCTGATCCTCCTACCTGGAAATTGTTGGCTATTATACTTCTGACAAGAGATAAGTTGGGTCTTCAACGAGGCTTAATCTTGTGTACATTTGAACAGTTGTATTCAAATTTGATATATGTTATTATTCCCTATGTATTGTATGCACTCAGAGCCTGGGACTGGATAGGTATTAAGAGCTCTATTATTAGGTGTGCAGTGCATTTGTGGCTCTGTAGACATCGGGGTCTGCAGGAGCTGAGCATCTCTGACTATCAGGTTTATTAATAAGTGCCCTGTGATATGCTAGCACAGATTATTCACTACGAGGGAGTTTTTGCATGTGGGAGAGGATGGTCAAGGGATTTCCTAATGACTTGGAGATTTAATGCTGAATTTGCTTGATGTCTTTTTATTGTTTATAGTTCTTCACAATAGCTGGACCCTATTGCAGTTACCCCCATAGTACGTCTTAGGCAAATTATGCATGAGACACTAAAATAAAGCATTAAGTATGATGGTGGAGGGAAGCACATATGAGCGTAAGTGCTGACTGGAGGTGGGAGTGTTTATGCCTCTTCTAGAGGCACAAAGTCAAATCCTGGAAAACATAATGCTGTATTAGAGTTCTCCGTAGGCATTACTTTAGTGACCCTTTGAATGTAACAGAGAAACGGTTTCAGCAGTCAGAGCCTGAAAGGAGAAATATCTGATCTATATCCATGGATTTAGACTGAAAGTGTCTGTGAATTATATTATGATCCCTATGCATATTTAGAGGTAATCCTTGAAGGGAAGGGGTTCATTCTTTTATTGATTCTGGACCCTTTGAAATTTCATTTTACAACCTAATGTTTCTCCCACTGCCAGTAGGCTGAGAACAAAGAGGAACACAGACCTCACTTATAGATGTCAGAGCTCTTGTACTTCACAGAATCTTAGGTGCTACTGAGGGTGCACTAAAAGACTACACTGCCACAAAAACAGTACTTTTCTCATCTGGCTGAAGATTTATATCCAGACCTCCAGAAATGATCTGTGATAAAACACTACCAGTTGAATCCCCAGTCCTAAGTCTAAGAAACTTAAAATTGCAATTTTATGAAAAGTAGAATGAAAGTAAAGGGACAAATGCGAAGTAGAAACCTGCTGGTAAGACTCTTTAGGTGTTTTGCTCCAGTGGGTCTCTTATCTCTTTCCATCCATCCATCCGTCCATCCATCCATCTATTCCTTCTTTCTATTGCAGTGTATGTTGCACCTCTGTGCATTGCATTGCCTTAGGCTTCCTTCTCACTTGGAAGGAGCACTTCATAATCTTAAAACTCTCCTTTTCCATGATACCAACAAAATATTTAAAAGTGGTTCGGTTGCTGTTCTTTACTTATCTGTGTTCATCTGCTTTCTTTTCTCCTACATGTGGGTTGTAAACAATCTAGGTCAGAAACCATCTTAATTGCTGGGCTTATACATCTCAAAACAATCAGCCATGGACCATGATTAGGGCTTTAGACATCATATCGTTACCAGAACTAGACAACAACAATAATAATAATAGTAACGGTGGCAGTAGTAATAGTAATAGTAGTAATAATAATAGTGTACTCTGGACATGATTCTTCACTGTGGTACTGACTGTAAACTGTTTCTATAATTCTGCTGACTCAAATTCAGTGATTGTATTTGAATAAACCTGAATTATCTTGTCAAAACTAGTGTATCTAGTTTCACATCCAATTTCTGTATGAAAAAGTTATGAGACACATGTTCTGTCAAGATAGTTGATTGGAAGTCGTTCTTTTTTCTTAAGATTTTTGTTAATGCTTTCATTGTATTTGGACAAATTGCTACATAACATTTAGAAGTACTTACAGGTGAGCTTGAAATGATCTATTTTAAGTTATATTCTGTAATTAGAGAATGCTGTTTTGCTAGGGGAATGTTTTGAGGCCAAGTTAACATAATCAGAAGTAGCAAAGTCTGGTTTAGAGCCTTCCTACACAAAGATTTTGTTGCCTAAAACAAAAGTAGATTACTAAAGGTTAAGAGAGTAACATTAGAAGGCATTTCTCTTCCAGTTTATTTACAGTTGAAAGACTAAATTAGATTTTTACATCCCAACCTCTGTAAAATAAACTACCCATTTATCCCATAAAGTAACAGGAAGTGAGTGTTGAGAATTGTCGCATGACAGGATGTTGAAAATGAGAAAGAACTTACGAAGACTTGAAATTAGTTTATAGTAAACTTCAGGTTTATTAAAGCTCTTTTCTTGGCTTTCCTTGTGTGATTACATAATCATGCAGTTCCTCCAGAACTGCCTTGGTCTTTTTCCTACCAAGACAACAGTATTTAGTTCTTAATTTGTAATTGTCATGCCTTTTTTTTGCTCTCAGAAAGTCTCTTCAGCGAGAGCCAGTAGTGCTGCTGATTGGCAAGAGCTGATCCTGTTTTATCCTGTATTTAAATAGTATCTTTACACCATAGTGATGTTCTTTGCCAGTATTTGCCTGGCAAATAGCTACTGCTCTCCTTAGTAGGGCTTGAAGTAGGACTGATGTTCTGCTGGCAAGATCAGAGGGCTCTTGGTCTGCAAGCTGCTTTGCTTAAAACAAAGTCAGTATGCTACTCTGCAGTTGCTGCTAGAGCTTCAGGATATCTAGTTCTCCAGATGGAGCGGAAAAATGAAAGTGCAATACTTGTGTAGGATACAGCTTCTAATTTACTAGAACTGAAAGTAATATGCTGAAATTGCTCCTCTGCCAAAGCAGCAGGTCCCCTACCTGCTGGAATGAGCCGACCAACTGCTCTTAGTGAGATAGCAGATCCCAGGTTCTCTTGTGCCCGTTTGGGGACTGGGAAGCAGGTAATCTTGCATCAAATGACCAGTGTTAACAATGTTTTTCATCTGGGTAAGACCAATAGTGCCTGCTGATTTTTACCAGCACTATTTAGAACTTATATGTCTGCCTAAAAAGTACGACGAGCGTGTTTGTAAAGTCTTCACTTGTGGCTGAAAATTAGCAGGTAAGTAGAGAAAACTAGGCATTTCTTGTATTTAACTGAATTGTAGATGCAAAACTTAATGCTGCCATTTCAGGTAAATGTAAATTTGCAAGTCACCTTTGGTACCTGTTTTAAAATACCACACTCAAGGCTTCAGGTAGTGAGAAACTGAAGCCTTTGTTCATAGGTCTGCTGTGTAAGAAAAGAATGCCACTGCAGTTTTAACCAGTCTGACCTCGAGTTCACATACACTGGGTTTACTCAGGTTTTTTTCCCTTTGGTTGAATATAGATAAGATCTCTCAACTTCTTTCTCTAAGAATGAGTTTTATTGTCTGTGGCTAGTGGGTCCTGAAGTCGGACACTATGATTGCAAATAAAAAGTCTTTACATTGAGATAATATTATGTCCCTTTGTGGGTTAAACAGCTACTTTCCAGAATCCTGGTCTTTGTCCTCCTAGTTCCTGTAGGACGCAAGAAATGCTGTATATAGGAATGAATGGGATTTGGGCAACAGGGTAGCTATTTTAATTTCTTGCTATTGTTCCCTACAAAGAGTATCCTGCTAATTTCAGAGCCACAAGCTATGCGGTGGGGAAGGGGAATAATTTAGCTTAGGAAGCTGTCTGAGATGTAATATTTATCCTCTTGTTTCTAGGGAGACTGTCAGACTCGGGAGGAAGCTGTCGCACTGGGTGTTGGACTCTGCAATAATGGCTTCATGCATCATGGTAATGCATCAATATTACTTCCCACAGCCAATTAAAGGAGCTCTTACTTCATTCAGATTAGCTGACTGTCTGAAAATCCCTTTTCTATAGGCTGTGCCATACATGCTGACATGTATACAACTGCAGGCATCCCAGCAGGTCGTTCTAAAAAGCAGTCTTCGAGCTTACACGAAATGTTTAAGCCTAGTACCTTCCCAAGTGAATCCCCTTGCTAATAGTTATGATGAGCCCTGAAGCGATTAGACAAGCTAGAAGGGGAATGTTTTTTCACTGCATCTCTTTCAGAGCCATCAGACCAATGCACAAGCCAAGTACTGTCCTGAAATATTACCAAGAAATGTCAGGTACAAAGTAAAATTGCCTAGTTCTTGCCACTTGGACAACAAGCACAACCCTCAGTGCTGAATCTCTGAAGCTTCCAAATCTGAAGTGCCAAGTTGCCAAGTTAGACATCATCCATCCTCAGTGATGCTGCTGCTAAACTGGGAAAGTAAACAAATCATCTGTATCGCTATCAAATAGCACACACAAAGTCCTAAGAGTAAAACATAGTTTGTCCAATGAAACATCCAGTTTTAGTCATAAATAACATTTGCTCTCCATATATTGAATAAGGTTTTTGAGAGCAGATTATTGTAAATAACTAATAGAGAATTTGCACAGTACTTGATAAGAATGTAAGAATAATTGTTTTTCTTTAAAGAATTTGATCTGATTTTTGCCCATGTAAACTTTTGGCATTCATAGCATCCTTTGGCAAGGAGTTCCTTTGCATAAGTACATGTTGAATGAAGAAGTTGTTCCTCAGGTTTTAAAATTGTCACTTGCTGCTTTTATTTAAAGCCCCCAGGTCTTGTATTTGAAAACATGGTAAAGAACTTTGTCATGCCTTCCAGAATTTTATAGATCTCATTTCCCTCTCAATTCCTTTTTAGGTTGAAAAGTCTTAGTCTATTTAGCCATCTCACTTACCTTTAAACAGCCATTTTACTCCTCTTTGCTCCTTTTATAGTTTTACCATATTAATTTTGACATGGGAAAGGAGCATAAGGTATTGAGTAGCATCTTTCTTCCAAGAGGATCTTTGCATTTTATATGCATTCTACATGCCAAGGAGGTCAAACATTATATCATGAGCTACTATGCACTGTGAAGAAAAGTATATCTCTAAAATGCAGTGGTAGCTTAAAAATGTAGAGCTGAATAGCTGACTGATAGGGAAGCATCTGGTCTTTGTTCTGTAAAGACTGGGGAAATGTTTAGGATTTCCTTTAACTTTTTTTTGTTTCTCTCTTTCTTTCTCTGTGTAAATGCATGTATGTATTTCATATATATTATTTCCAGTCCTGGAGAAAAGTGAATTTAAGGATGAATCCTTATATTTCCGCTTTTATGCTGATGAGGAGATGGAAGGCACCAGTTCCAAGAGCAAACAATTACGTAATGACTTCAAGCTTGTGGAAAACATCCTGGGAAAGAGTCTTCTGGTAAGAAATATGTTAAGGCAAACCTTGATGTTTCTGTGAAACTGGTATTGTTTTATACTAGAGGAGAATGAGAAGGAAAATTGTAATAGAGTAGAATTGAAATGGGGAATTGCACCTGTAGCTAGACTTTTCTTCACTGCATAAATACTAATTCTTGAGCTACTTTGCTGTAGAGCTCCAACTTCTGTAGCTCTGACTTTTCTAGCTGGGCAGACCATATAGCTTACTCGTAGCAAGGGAAATCTGTAAGTTGCAGGGTCCCTTCTCTAGCATGTGACCATCCTGCACTACCTGGGAGCTTTGGATTCACAGCTCACACACACATGTGCAAATGCAAGTGAGTTCCTGCCTATTTCTGTTAGGTCTCAAGAAAAGAGGAGACTCGGATATGACCATTTCATCCAGTTCAGAGCCCAATCGCTTTCTATTCCCAAGAAGCCCTTGAGAGAGTCTGGAAGTGAGCTGGGAGCTGGAGATGTTGTCTTAGCAAGCATCATACGTTTCTTGAGTTCGCTGAGCAGGCACCACAGTGCTGGTGTGGTAGAGGAGAAAGTAATGGGCACTACTATCTTGGGAGAGGTCTGCCATCAAGTTTAAACACAGTTTAAACACCCTTATATGTGAGGTAGATTCAGATGCAAGTTAAAAGACTGATAAGAACGTATCTATTTCAGGAGATCATTGTCTAAGTGATATGAATGTGCCCTGCGTTAGTGGATCAAGTATCAGCTTTACTTTGTTTATGGAAACCATTAACCAAAAAATACTGTTCTTTATGTTCATGCTTTTGCAACATTACTGTTATCTCCAGATTCCCACCTCACTAAATGCCATCACAGTCCTTACTGTACTGGGATTATTCTAATGCTGTTTGGACTTGGTAGTCGGATTGGTGCAAACTCTTTGTTCTGAAATCCTTGTTTACTGCCAGTGGCTCCAGGCCCATCTTTTTCTTCCTTTGAACACTGGCAGAATGCAGGAGCAGGAGAAAAACTTGAGTCAGAAACTGGAAAAGTAGAATTGCTGGAAAAGATCCAGAGGTCCATTATATGGGAAAATTCTTCCTGTGGTTCACACAAACTTCACTGTCTCACTGTTGTCTTGTCTCCCGGGAGACCAATCTGTGTTTGTCTGAATGTCCAGAAGTAATATTTAAAGCACCATGGTCCCTCAAAATTATTCCTCTATGCATCCAGTGCCAGAGACTGGAGTGTCAGGTTAATATGATTATCCTCACAGAGAGTTGTTGGATAAAGGGAAGCAGTTAAAAGGTGGTACACTTTGTGGGTTTTTTTAACTGTGATTTGCAAAGCACTCAGAGATCAGTTTCATGTAAGTTGGTGGGAACTGCCATTGTTCAGGTATTTTTAATTTTCCACCTTATCAAGACAAGACAGTTTGAGGAAACAGATTGACTAGTATGTCTCTCCCACTTTTTTCTGTGAGTTCAAGGCACTTCTGTTAAAATGCCAAAACTCACAACGGTAATATGTTAGCTGTGAAATGAGGGATTTAAAGTTCTTTGATTCTGTTTTCTGTTAATGTAATAGTCATTTATTAGTATTCACTAAAGAGACAGAACAAACAAGCAAACCTTGCACATGGACTATTTACTAGTGATTAATTGTAATCCCTAATTGGTCCTTCCAGTCACTCCATAATTTGGTAACTGAAATATTTGCAACAGGGATAATTTTACTATTAGTATTAGTGTAGATCTGAAATTAGCCTCTGACAAAATGCAGTCCCATCTCAAAAAGTAAACAATCTGAAATGAACAGCAATGAATAAGTGCTGAATAAGAAATCTCCTACTTAGAGGGCACAGATTTTTGTCAAATGAGTAGTAGTCATGCTAAAGTTATGAGTTGCCCTCGTTTTCACAAATAAATTAGCAGTCCCCTGAATGTTTGTAAAGAAGATCCCACAAATAGCAGTACAGTAAATGCATTACACTTCTCCACAAAAACATTTGTGCCTGACTTCTGTGTTATTCTGTGTTTAGCAATTGTGAGCAGCTGGAATCCTGAGGCTTTGCTGTCTGTGGAACATCACTACTTGCCTCTTTACACTCATGATAGGGCATTGATCCTTCCCATCACCCGATCCCACCATAGGAAATTTAATGGAATTTCCTCAGCACTGGCTTTTGAAACATGCTTTTCTACTGCCATGAAATCCTAGCTGTTTAATGGACAGCTTCCCCCACCCCCTTCATCTAAGTTTGCTCTACCACTGGAGAGCTTGCCCCTGAAAACAGAAAACAACAGAAGCTTTGGCAAACATATCATTAGAAATGCCAAGGAAAAAAGTGCTTTCAGTCTGAAAAAATGCACTTCAAACGAAATTTAATACTCATTTATTTGTGCAATTGTTTCTCATTGAAGGACATAAATCTTGAGAAACTGAAAAAATATACAACATTCTTTGCATAGTTGAAGAGAATTTAGATTTTGGATTGACTCCAAGCATTGTGACTTGGTTACTGCAGTGTGCTGTTAACTTGTGATCAGCACCTCTACTTGTTAGCCCAAGCCAACCACAACACAAATTAAAGCCGGTAGCCTGGAGCTGAGTCTCAGACAAGGGTAGTTGCCTGTAGAGATGGGCCTCCATCAAAGTTGCCTAAGAGGTTTAATGCACACACGATGCTAGAGTCCCCAGAAGACTCTGACGTATCACTTACCTGATCTCAACAGAAGAGCATTTCCAGTGATTTCTGAAGATGATGCCTGTGTACATTTTATGTGGCATTCTCAAAACTGTTGTGCTGGATTGGAGATCTGGACTGTAAGTCTAAACCTCATCAACTTTCCAGACCTGTGATATCTCCTACATTCCTCCACGGTATCCCCTATTTCTTAGTTTCAGTAGTGTGTTGCAGTAGTTGCAGGAGAGAGTAGTTGCCGTGTCTCACTGCAGTTCACAGCCGGGGTTGTGGCATGTCCTGGAATTCAGCTCATGCAGGGGCCTGAGTACTGTAGCATATTCGATGAAAGCCAATGGTTTGAGTACAGAAGTCAGGGCTACCTGGGTTTTAATTTAACTTCTCACATGAACTCGCTGTGTGGCCTGAGCAAGACCTTAAGTCACTCCATGCGTCAGTTTACCATCTGGAAATTAGGATGCTAAATCTCATCTATCCACAGGGCTTTGCTACTGCTGTTACATCTAGAATCAGCTTTGAAAATGAAAGTGTCCTTATAATTCAGCACTTCAGATACCAAGTTTTTAGGTAATAGGTAGTATTATCATTTGAGTTCATGTCTTCTCCATTTTAAACCAGCTGATCCAATAAACATAGCATTCACCTTAAAATTCTCATAGAACTATAGAACACATTTCTCCTATTCTAACTATGAATAAATAATAGTAATTTGTATTACTCAAATAAAGCCATACTTGGTCCTTGATAAAAATCTCTTCCATCTTTGATCATTCCAGGAGAATTATTTTTGTGTGTTGTGCTAATACAAAATGACCTAATACTGCAAATTTTCAGCAGAGAGAGAGCAAAAAAGAGATTTCCCTTTGTTCTTCATTATACTAGTGTACCACAGTCTACTGTAGCTTGAGAATTCAGATCATTGATTTAAAACACCCCTGGGAAGAGAGCCACTAATAAAAGCCCATCCTGTAGGGATTTCTGATCTCCCAAGGAGACAGGCTGGCAAGTCAGTAACAGGAGGCATCCGTCATCCAGGTGTATGTGGCCAGATAAGGGCTTTGAGTGGATTTTGGATACTAAAAATTACAGCGAACTCTGAAGTGAAAAACATCCTTTAGGCTGTAAATCTTTCACTGTTCAGAATGAACAGTTCAGTTTCAGTGCTCAATTTCAAAGCTCACAAACCAGAAGAAACTTTGAGTCATTTTGTATGTATTAAGGCTATTTTGCTAATGTGGCAAAACACACCTTTAAATATAAAAGCAGTAGGGGTGGCTTAGATTCTGGAGCTTCTCATTGGAAAGAAATTTTGTCTTTTCAAATTTCGTTTTAGTGCCCCAGAGCTTGGAACTTTTGAAAGGCTGGGGAGACTGGAACAACCTGGGAGATGAGGTGACAGGAAAATAGCTCTCTTCAAATGAATGCTGCTGAGGACCACAGAAACCTCATCAGTTTTGTGAAGCATTCAGACTTGACATTATCTGATAAGTCACTGCTCCTTAAGAAATTCTTAACCAAGTCAGACTGTTCAAGTGTGTCCAACAGAGAAGAGTTTATCCTGGAGAGCTGTAGGGAAGGCTGTGAGAGAAGGATGTGCATAGAATCATAGAATAGTTTGGGTGGACCCTAGTTTAGGAAATGGTGGTTGATCTGCCTGTGCTGCCTCGTCTGCTGCTAATGTCCCCAGGAGTTTAGGCTGAGAGTTCCTGCTTCTGCATGAACAGTAGGAGCTGCCTGGGGAGGCTGCCAAGAGTGAAATGGATCCAGTTCCTTCGCCTCCTTCACTGGGGGGAATCTTAGTGCCCAACCCAAGGCCCTTCGTGTGAATGCAGTTTGAGGGATCAGCAAATGTGGTGGGTAAACCAGACACTATACCCTGTACATTAAAGTCATGCTCTCATGACATTAGCCTGATGCAATGCTGGAAGCTACTGCATAGCTGAGCATCAAGCTGCTTCACATCTCTGTCGTCTTCGTTCTCCTGGAAATCTGTCAAACCTCCCTTCATAGACTCTGAGCATCCCCATGCCACAAGTGTTTTCTGACTCCATAATCCTCCTTGTACAGGAAGGGAGAGAAATGGAGAGGTACTACATGAGCATCATGACCCACATGCCAAAAATGCTTCATGAATGTGACAGGTACAGGTGTAATAGACCATTTTTTGCATAGTTTTTCTTCTCCCCACTCTTCACCCCCCAATCTCTGCCAAAATTCTCTTTGATTACGTTCTGACTACATTTGTCCTCTGGTTTTGATTAAACATGCTTATTTCTCATACAGTCTCATTTTTTGACGTGGTTGTCTTTCAAGATTAAACAGCTGCTGCCTTACGTTCAGAAACCTGATTGGATTTCAGGGGAACAGAAATAATTCTTGTAGATGGCAAGTTAGTTAATTGCTTTGGACTCCTTAGGGATGAATGGTGTTCAGCTGTGGAATTGCAAGGTATTACTACTTTATAATAAAGAATGAATCATAGCCTTCTCCAAGTATTGCATATTGAATATTATCCATAGTCTGCCTTTTCATAAGAGAGTGTCCCCAGTACAGGAGTGTCAGTATACATAATGTGAGATTTCTTTCTTTACAACATGGTGATAAAGTTCCTAATGTTGATGCACTTGGGGTTTCTTAAAAGTATTTTGGTTCTTTGCTTTCAAACAATACATTTTTGCAGTACTAATGAACAGAGAAAGGCAGGTTATTAAAAATGATAGCATATAAAAGATCTTCATGCATAGTAATGGTAGCTGCACCCAAGAGATCATGTAAGTTCGCGTAGCTTCTGGCTTCTTAAGTTTGGCAAATCAAAGCCTCCAAATTTTTAAAAATCTTTTCACATATGCTTTCAAAATCCAACAAAAGAAACTGAACAGTCCCTTCAAATGTATAATGAGAATTGGATGGGAGAGCTATCCTAGAAATTTTCTATTTAATCCCAAATGTGAAGTGATAAAAGTAAATATTGTGTTGGGCTGAAACTCATTACACTTGCAACACTAAAAATCGAACCAGTGATATACCCAATTTTCTAAGCTGTCCTTTTATTAAACTTGCATAAATAGCATTGCTTCTGAAAATATTTTGTTAGAAATATCCAAGAATGGCAGGCTTACCTTTCAGTGTTTTCAGTTTCCTGTCCATCATTTAATCTGAACATCATCTGATGAGGATTTTTTCCCTGCAGATATATTATGTCATGCATTATTGTAACATGGCTGTATGGCTCCTGCAGGAAAGGATGATTCTATGTCTTTAATTTTTTTCTAAGGTGAATTCCTGTAAAAGGACAAAGCTTATATGCTGATGACATTGACTTCAATAGAAAAAGGAGAGTATTTTTAAAAAGTGCAGGAATCATCAGAATCAAGGAAATAATTCTCAGTAATTTTTTTTTCCCAGTGGCATGCTAGATTATAGATAGCTTTATTTTTCCTTTTAACTCAATTCTAATTTATCAGATGGTTCTTAAATGCGCAGTGTTTGCTCAAATGCAAGATGTTTATCTGGTAGAATTTCCACTTGTCCATTTACCAGTGGCCAAGCTTGCTTTATTTTTTTAAAATGGGAAGTGAGTTGTTAAGCTTTTTTTTCATTGTTAATAAGCCACTAGAAGAGGATGAGTGAAACATATATTTGCCATGATTGATATGATTTTAAAAAACATTTATAAGGCAGGTCTGTGTGACCTCAGTGCAAATAAGAGGAAGCAGATTCTCAGGAGCAAGAACTACCAAGTCTTCTGTCAACCATAAAAGATGCAAACTGAACACGACATGAGTCTTGTATTTTTTTCCCTAACACAAAGCTTATGTGCCTGTTCGCTAGAGGAAGGACCTATAGATGTGAGAAATTGTTCTGTCACTGGTCATCCAGAATTTTAGCCAGCAGACCAACTATTATGATGTAATTTATGTAGTGTGTAGTATTATCTATAAGAAATAAGCCTGAGATCCCCAATTTATCTGAAAATGATAGCTAAGAAGGACTCATAGATTGTTCATTATTGGGTATGTGGGATGTTTTTTAAAAAATAAATAAATGACTACAGTTTGATCTGTAAGTACATTCACCAGTGGCAAATACTGAATATTGATGAATTCCGTAACCTAAAAGTGAAAGATCTAATGAAGAATGAAGGGCTAGAAGTTAAAACCAAATGCAGTTTCTAACAGAAGAATTGATTAACCATTGGAACAAGCTGTCAAGGGCGGGAATAGATTCTTCACTTCTTAAAGACTGCAGATCATAACTGGATAACTCTCTGGAAATTCTGCTTTAGTGTAGTAAGGGGTCAATGCAGAAATAACTAGATTAAATTTTATGGCTTATGTTATGTAGGAGATCAGGCCAAATGACCTAATATTCCCTTTCAGCCTTAAGATCTCCAAGTCTATGTCAATCGTGGCTTGCAGTGAAAAGTCCAATTTCTCATCTCCATCCTTCAGCTTTTCAGCTGACTCAGTATTTATGAAGCATTACCTTATGCTCTTTTTAAGATTTTACCAGAAGAGGATGACTATGGATTTGACATGGAAGAAAAGAACAAAGCAATCGTGGTGAAGTCAGTTCGACGAGGGTCTTCTGCAGAGGTATGACCTGACATTCATAAATATGTTGGGTTTGGTACCTAAGAATATTTCAATGCTTTGAAAAGGTACAAAACCATCCTTTTAAGGTCTGTTTCATTTTAAAGGCAGCTAATAGAAAATTGGGTGTCTTCTACAGTTCTTGTGGTAATAAATTGTTTCTGTAAATTGCTAAATGTTTTGGCATCTTTGGGTGACTTGCTGAATATTTTTGATAAGTGATAGGACAGCAGTATCTCTGTGTGATGATAGCATACCTCAGGTTCATTAGCAACTTAAATTTGAGGAGGGAGGAAAAGTAACATTATTTTGGGATAGCAAAGATGTTCAATGAGAAACAGGTTTATTTGAGTGAAAGCTATATTTTTAGATTTGTATTTTTTCCTTAAAAAGCATGCACTCATTACTCTCCTTGGTATTTTTTAAGAGCTCTACAGAATATATTTGCTTTGTTTCTTTGAGGCACATAGATGGCCCAAATGTCATAGGATCTGAGTATTTCATAATCATTTGTTTATCCATACAAAACCCTTGAGTGGATAACACAATGTGATCCTCCATTTACAGAAATAAGGCACAGACAGGCTGAAAGTCTATTTTTTAAAAGCTATTTAGGTGCCTTCTAGCACCTATGAAGATAAGAGAGGACTAAATGGCTTGTCCAGGGTTTCACAGTAAATTGTGGCAGCACACAGACAGTACTTCTAATTAAAAGTCCAGGACAACCATTACAGAATTTTTTAACGTCCACATTCATTTGTTGGTCACTGCTTTAGGCTCCAGATAACTCCTGGATGACTCGCCCAATGCAAACAGCTGAAGTGGACAGGCTGATTTTAGCAAGTTGAGAGTGTCAAACGGGAAGGAATTCTGAACTGAAGTTTAATATTAGAATTAAATTATTTGAGTATTCCTGATTCTCGTTTGTTTTCTGGTCACCAGAGAAACCAATCCTATGCTCTACCTCATGCTCCAAATCAACATAGATTGGCCAAAAATTTTATTACTCTAAACCTCTGCTGTAAACCATTGCCTGACAGATAATCCTTCTGCTTCTTTGGCTGGATGCCTGTGGAATACCCTGCAAATCTGTTGTGTTTTAAGACAACAGAAGCACACAATTTTCTAAGGAATCTTTTTCTTGATCTTCCAAGACAAACTATCTGTGACCATAAGCCTGTCTTTTCAACTTGATCTTAAAATATTGCTCCAGAAAAGAACTAAATCTGCATCTCTCTGAACCAGAGGGCTGTCAGCTCATTCTGGAAAGACCTGAGGTCCGACAGTAATGCATTTCATTACATTCTTGGGCTTTTTTAATTGCTTTGTGATACTAGAAGGATATCCAGCATGTAGTTCTGTGTGGCTCAGCAGCTGTAGGCCATTTAGAGACCCTATGCCTGCTGTCACACTCTTTAGGGATAAAAATTAAGACATGCAGCTTTGCTTCACAATGCCTATCACAGTGTATTGCATTCATTAGGACTGTCAGACTTCAGGCCAGAATAAGATTCCAGGTTCACCAACTAAGTGGGAACAAATCTATTACTTGCGTGGATTTATTCAAGATTAACACAATCTGTTTGAGTTTGGGATTGTGATCTCTTTTTCCTAGCATACCTGGAAAAAAATCCTTATGGACAGGTTGTGGCGGCACAGAGCGTTGAACTTCATGCATGTGCAACAAGGGTCTTTGGGGTTTTTATCCAAAATCAGAGTTGCCAAGCATTGTTCTTTCTATTATTAGTGTCTTTTCTCTTCTCGAGATTTTTTAGAAACTGTTTTGTGAGCTGTTAGATCTGCCTATGCCAGAAGCAGTTCCCAAACTGTGTTTGAAAGTTGTTAAAAGAATTACTGGAACATCAAATTCCTGTACTGATAGGGTACCTGAACTGCAGTTTGGGAACTCTTCGCCTGACATCTGTGTTCAGCTTCTCAGTTTTGGCCCTTAGGTAGAATAGTGCCCTAGTGGGCACTGCTCATGCACTTGCTCTCCTGATCCTGGATGATGGGCAGCTCTCAGGCCGGGACTCTCGCCTGTGGGAATTGTCCCCCCATGCTCCTGGCAGCAGCTGCCTGTGACTATTAACGCTTGCTCAGCTCACCTAGACAGAGGGTCGCAACAAATCATATAGCAGTGGTTGGTTGATGTGGACTGTGGCACATCCCATGCCTGTTCCAAGTTCATGTGTCATCAGAAAGACCTTCAGAAAGTCAATGTCTCCTCAGTTTGTACCTTATCTTCCTTTCAAACCCAGCTCATCTGCAGGTTAATTGTAGCTGGGCTTATTCCCACAAGTTTTAATCCTGGAGCTGGTTTATGAATGATAGTCTATCAGAAGGAAGCAACAATGAAAATTATCCTTTTGGGAGGTGTGGTTGCTGTCTTACTCTGAACAGCCAACTGACAAGCAGCTGTCTAGTGTTTGAACAGAGCGTGTTCTACAAGCAGCCAGTTGGCCAATGGCCATGCAGATGAACAGCAAATAGCAAGCTGCTGGCATTTCAGAAAAAACAATGGCCCGGATCCAGACAACTGCATTGAGCTGTCATAAGGAGCATCCGTTATTCAGAAGCTCTGTGACACTGTAGGTCTTTACTCTTAAAGATACATGCTGTCTAATCTTCCTTAGCCTGGTTAGTTATATCCCAGTAGAGTAGCAGATTTTTATTTGAAAGTTGCTAGTTTGTAGGGTTTAATATGCGACTTTATACCTCATATGTTCATGGATTTGCTATGATTATGTGTGCAGGTATGTGTCCCGTATGCACAAGCAGTAAGTTAGGCATATAAAGAGGTCATCCACAGGTAGAATGATTGCAGGTATGCAAAGACTTTAGCTAAGCGCACATACATTAAGTGCATGAGCTACTTTGAGAAAATTAGGCCTAAAACATAATGACTTTAGAAATTTATATAATAATTTTTACTTTACAATAAACTCATCAGTATCAGTAAATGCAAATAGCGGAAACATTTCAATTGAATTATAAACCAAAGTTTGTCAAATTCTATCTTAAGTTAAAATCTCTATTGCTATTTATCCCTATTATCCATTTTAGAGATTATTTACAAAAAAAAGAAAGATGAAAAATGTTATTTCCAGGTACACAAGAGGATGTTGTCAAGTGATGAGAGCCTGAGAATTAAATCAAGGAGAGCACTTTGTAGTTTTTCCTTTTAATAGCTTTGATTTGAGGAAAAAAAGTACAAGTTTTTGTAGGTAAACTGATCTCTGACTTTCAGACCACAAAATATATTTAAGAAAAGTGAAGACATGCATAGACATAGTCAGCAGGGTTTTCCAGTCCTACGTTTCCAGATTCATTTTTGCAACAGGTCAGATTTCATATGTGGGAGTAGTACTGCTTAGACCTCCTTTTTCCAAGTCAAGAAATTTGTCAATGGATTCCAGGCAGAACAGGAAAAGAGTTTGTCACATTTAGAAGAAAGCCCAACTGCTGGATCTTGAAGTGATAGGAAGTAACTCTAACCTGGGAAGGGTTAATAATATATATTTTTTTTCTTTTTACTCCATTAAAGGGAATTTTATATTTCCTTGATATCCTAACACCTAGTTTAAGTGCTGCTATGTCACATTTTAACTGGTATAGATCATCAAGAGGTATGTTTAGAGTTATTGTCCAGTGGGCAGAATAAGGGATCTCGATTCTGTCATCAGATCTGTCTCTGAATTCCTGTGTGACCATGACCAAATAACTAAAGTTAAGTGCAAAAGCTAGGAATTAAAATTAAAATCTTGTGGCTTTTTAGGCTGATGAAGAGCCAGTAGTTCACTTAAAGCAGAGACAGGTTTTTACCACCACTTAAAAACAGGTTACATTTACTGATGTGACTGGGTATAGACTGGTTTTGCATGGCTAGTAGTTGAAAACTGTGGTTTTGGCTCCCTGTGCCTGAGCTGTAAGTTGTGAGAAGTCACACTTCTGTATCGCACTGGATATGGCAGCCAGTCTATTACAATCCCCTATATTTTAATCCCCTTTTTTTAACAGTCTCCTTTTTTAGTAGTCCCCTATTAAAAAAATTGTAGCAGAAAAGTACGAAGATATATCTGTTGCAAAGTAATGTGGCATATTTATACAGATATTGGTGAAATCTCTTTGTTTTCTCTAAATGCAGACAACTTTAAGGGTGACTGACAAATGATTTGATGAATCAACACTGTGTATACAGATTCCATATGACAATAATCCTAGGAACGTCTCTAAGTAGAGAACGGTTGAACTTGGAGCCTGAACTTTCAGAGATGCTGCCAATGATCCAAAGTTTTCTGCGGTGTTTGTTTTGTTTGCAGATGGCTGGCCTACAGACGGGAAGAAAAATCTATTCCATCAATGAGGACTTAATATTCCTACGCCCGTTTTCAGAAGTGGAAACCATCTTAAACCAGTCCTTCTGCTCACGAAGGCCACTTAGGCTTCTGGTAGCTACCAAATCAAAAGAGTAAGTGCCAAGATGAGCAGACAGAGAAGATTATCTAGAAATGTCAATTACTAAATATTTTTTCTACAATTTGTAGTGAAAACTCTACTGTAAACACTTTGCTATGCAGAAGCTGTTCAATAGGAAAACAAATAACATAAATGAAAAAGATACCAGAGTCACAGGTTTTCAGTGGTGAACCTTGTGCTTTTAGAACAAGTTAGGATATGTTCTCTTTATACTGCAGTTAACTTTTGGCTTCCTTGTGCACAAACAGAACTGAATCACAAGGATTGTCATTCTGTCTCAGGTGTGAAGCTTCTCAGATAAATATATGTCCAAAGGAAAGCAATTTCCACCCCATTAAAGCTTGGCTTATTTCTGGATGACTCTAACAACATCAGCCCTTACGGTTTTTCAGTCCATTATTGTGTCTTATGACGAGGCTTGGCCCTGTTAATGTCTTGTGCGTTATTAGATTCTATAATCCCAGAATTTGCCATAGAATTGAACGTCTCAATGAGCACTTGATACTAAATTCTAGTCCAGGATGTCTTGTCCAGTCTATTTTCTTTTTTAATGGAAAAGATCCTCAGCTGGTATAAGTCAGCAGAGCTGCACTGAAGTTTGCCTAGAAGTGAAAGGGAATAAAAATACCATAGAAAGTTTCTGTCATGTGTTATTCACTTAAAGATGTAATAAATTTGGAAGTGCCAAATTTTAATTAACAAAAAGAGTCTCTCATCTGCCTTGGAGAACGAAGGTGGAGTGGATGATTTCTTCAGGTCTATTTATTTGTTATTTATTTGTAAACTACGTGGGTGCTTTCTTTAATCGAAAACACAGTTGTGAATGCCAGGGAAAGATGCTGTTAGAACTGCCCAGAGCTCTGGCAGCCTAACTTAAAATGCTGCTTTCTCTTCTCCTTGATTTACCTGCAGGATTATTAAAATCCCAGATTGTCCTGAAGCACTTTGCTTTCAGATACGGGGAGCAGCACCACCATATGTTCATGCAGTAGGAAGAGGTAAGTAGAAAGGCTGTGGTATAGTTAGGCTTGGAGTACAGCTAAATATATACACGTGCATATAAAGTGTGCGTGTGTGTGTATACATCTCAATCAAGAAGGATCCAGGTTTCATTGTCAAACTTGTTCTAAACAAGTTCTGACAACTTATTTTAGTAACCGTAACGACTAGGAACCCCTGTCATAGAGGAGGATCGCGCTCGTATATAAAACCATAGAACAACGAGATAGTTCCTGCCTCAAAGTGCTTATAATCTAAATAGAGTCTAAGAAAATGGCATCATTATTATGAACTGAGTGTTGGGCCACTAATCCCATCAACACAAAACAAGGAATACCTTAATTCTACAGTAGAAGAAACTTGGCGATACTGCAATCCACAGTACTGTGGAAAGGCTCTTCAGAAAGCATTGTCACTTGAGCTCTTGCAAGCTAGAAATGCGCTTTCATAGTGATCCTAACCTTGTTTCTTCTAAGACTACTAAGATACAGCTGTACAGCCACAGGGAATAAAAATTTAAAACTGAAGTGGCTGAGAAAAAGTTGAGGTGTAATGCTGCCTGTTGCTTCCTCAGTATTTTTGCCTGTGGTCAGCCACAGTTTGGATCACTGCAGTTGTGAATGTGCTGTGGGATCAGCAGGTTGGTAGACAGATCGTGTTTCTTAATGGACATCACAAGGTATGGTATAAGACTTGAAGACTACTTCTCCCTTTACATTGGCTTATACTGCTATAAATTACCAATATAAGATAGAAGTGAACTGCTGTCCTTGTTCTTTTTAAAAGGGGAAAACACAGTTTGACAGAGATATTTACTACTTCCGTAACTGAAATGTGAAATGAGCTGCAAATAAAGAACAGCTCTAACCTTTATTTTGAGCAGAGGCAGAAAATACGACCTTTCAGACACGTACCACTTCCTTCCTTCAGAACAAATACATATATCCAAAGATGTGCAGTTAGTATACAGACAACAGGTAGCACGCAAATGCAACAAACGATGTTCTCAGGGAGACACATTTATTACACTCTTTCATAACAGCACCTATAACCACTTTTTAACAGTCTGAAGAGTGCAAACTGGAAGTGCCAGCTAGAAAGATTCTCCTTTTTCAGGGTTTTGCTAGCAAAGGACAAATTGCATTTGGAATATAACTGTATGAATTTTAAATGATGGTGCCTTAAAAAAGTTAATCACCTTAATTGTAGATTTCTAGGAGCTGGATTTGGCTCTGAGTCTTGTTCACGTGAATCTGGAATACATCCATTGAAGTTGGACATTGCACTCTAGACTTAAGTACATCATAGTCTTTTTCTTAGACCATGGCAAACTGCATAACATGCAAGTGTTCTGTATCTTTCAAGTGCAACAAGCTGAAACAAATATAACTTCACATTTAAGCAAGACCTCAGCTAATGTAATCATAAGGCTAGAAGAGCCATGTAAGAATCCCAAATGATTTCCCAGAGGAATTTCAGTTTCTAGCATGAATGCATTTAGGTCTAGGAGGTCTCTGTTTTTCCCAGCACTACTGAAAATGTGAAGGATAGATGCATGATGTTTTCCTTATACAACAAAGCTATGTTGTATTCATGACATGCATTCAACTAGCTTTTTCTTCTTACTCTTCTTAACCAGAAACCCTTTGCAAACTTTCCAATTTTCTCTTCCATAGTCAGGTGCCTTTACTGTCTAACTCCTCTCCTGTTGATTTTTCAGGTTCTGAGGCTGCAGCTGTGGGCCTTCATCCAGGGCAGTGTATTTTGAAAGTTAATGGGAATAATGCAACACATGGAAATTATATGGAAGTTCTGGAGCACTTTACAGCCTACAGGACCAGACAACAGGAAGCACTGGTATGAATACAAAACCTCAGAGGAAGTACATTAATTCCTGCCCTCCTTCTGTCCTCCCCTTCTTCTGTGCTTTTATGCTCACTAAATATTCAAAAAACCAACTTATATACATGTCTCTCTTGACTTAATTTACTCCCATGCCAAGGTCCTAGTAAAACTGAGGGAGCTAATTAGTTGCCTATAGTTGCAGAACATCTACAAATAAGATGTGCGCCAATTCATACACTGCATACAGTACTAAATATTATTAACTATTGCTAAAATTAGAAGTTCACCCAGATATTGATCTAGATTTTATATTCTCTGAAGTTCAGAGGAAAGCTGTGGGAATGTTGATATTTCAGCCAACTTAGAAGATATAAAATTGTTAGCTAGATTCACCTTTGTAGTCCAAACATATAGAGATCGGGCATTTTTACTGAGGTCATAGCTGAAGCCTGTATCTCTTGAAAGGGATTGTACCAGTGGGTCTACAGAACACATGAAGATGCTGAGGAGGACAGAGTTCAGCAAGCAGCGTCCACTGCATATCTGAATGGCAGTCATCCTGGCTCCAGCAAAGAAGACTCTTCACTGGAAGGAGGTGCAGAATTGGATCCCCTTCAAAATAGCCAACAGGAATCAGGTAAAGATTCTAATGGGGAAAGAAACCTAGGGAAGATTCAGGGGCTTCAGGAAGGAAAATTGCAGTAGAAATATAAAGTGTAATTATTATTGTAGAATATCTCTTGTCTTAGTAAAGCTTTATAATAGGATGAGGTCTGCCAGAGGAAGACCTCTGCAGTTTATTCAGGAGAAAAAAAAATTGAGAAAAATTGAGAAATCATACTCCTGTGACTCTCTGATCTTTACAAGAGAGCCAGTTTCTGGAATGAAAAGGCTCAGCATTTTAAGAATCATTTGGTAGCCCCTGCAAACCAGGAATTTATGGGCAGTATCAGCTAGAGAGGGAAGGTCTGCAAGTAACTCCAGCTAGAATAATCTGTTTTCCGTGATTTAAGATTAAAGATTAAGATTTTAAATTACTTTGATCTGGAGCAAGTTTTCAGAGCGTGTTACCACTGTGTCAGCAAAAGGTGTGGGTGTATTTCCTCCAACTTAGAAAAGTGTAACTCATAAAAAACGCTGCTTTACCTTCATGCTGAGAGCTTATTCGGAAAAGTAGATGTTAGGGGAGAATGCTGAAGCCAGATTCAATCCAAAGGACTGAGCCTGGACTCTCTGAATGCCATTGGCAACTTCTCCAGGAACAGATGTACATCTGTGTGAATCCCATCTAAGGTCTGGTGAGCCTGGTAATCTAATGGTCAAACAGTGCAGCTCCACAGTGGAACAGCTGGAGCCGTGCCCTGGTAGAGGCATGTGAGCAATTCTTTGGCAAATCTCAATCTGACTGTTAACAAGTCTGTTCTCTGGTGACAATAGTATTGCTGTGTGTAAAAAAATGTTATCTCCTCACCCCACCCCTGCCCTGCCATCTCAGTCTTATGACTGCACAGAAAATACATCTGGAGCATTTCCCAAAATTGGACAGAAAAGTGGCAGTCTTCCAGAGGGTCATTACAAACAAGACTCTGAGATTCACATACTTTACTTCCCTTTGAAAGCTTCTGCTGGGGTCTGTGTGTCTGAATGCTGAACAGAACTAAAAGTAGTGTCCTGTGCATGGATGTGTGCATGCACATATGGAAGAACATCAGAGTGTGGATTGGAGCATGTGGATTGTCTCAACCTGGTCCATCACTGTCTCCAGTAGCGGCCAACAGCAAATGTCTTCCTCAGAATATTCTCCCAGCCTCTAGCAGTACGTGGTTCAGAGACTCCTTGAGCCAAAGGTTGTGTCTTTGTGTCTTTGCATTTAATAATACCTCTCAACAGGTTTCTCTTCCCTATGCGTGCCTGTATTCATGTGTGCTGCCAAACACCTCTAATGACTTATTTTGGTTCCAGCCCAGAAACCACCACAGACCATCAGCTCTCCACTGATCATTGGTGAAGAAACACCTCTCATTAGCCTGACTGTGGATAACACCCACCTGGAGCATGGTGTGGTGTACGAATATGTCAGCAGCGCAGGAATCAAATCCTTTGTCCTGGAGAAAATTGTGGAACCAAAAGGTTGCTTCAATCTCACTGCAAAGGTACCAGAAAACATACATGGCCAGCTTCATTCCTAAACAGAACAGGGAAGCCAATAATATAGGCATTTCTCTGGTGTCTTGGCTCAACTCTTCGGATGAGGTAGCACATGGTCTTCTCAACCCTGCGGAGTTTCCTTCATTAGAAGGCACCAAGTTATAATAGCTCGTTTGGTATGAGCAAATCAGCAAATGCTTCCAGGATTTCAGCTGTTGAGGTAGAGGGAGGGGAGTCCTCAGCTGTAGAATTCTCGCTTTTATCTGTCTGGTAACATACTCTTTGCTGATACTCAAGATTAATCTTTTCAGGCAAGAATTTGCTTTACCTTGGAAGAAAATCAAGCAGCTTTTTGCCATCTGATAGGCTGGATTGGTCACTAAAGGAAGCAAGTAGAACTGCTGCTGTTGGAAAGCAGCAGTGCACTTAGTATTTTGGTCATCTATTACAATAGTGAGCTAATAGTAAATGTTTCTGTCACATCCCAGTAACATTATTGTTATGTCCTATGAAAGCATGCCAGACCGGGTAACTTTGACAGTGCACAGTGGATATTTTGATCCATTTCAGTTATTGTAAAAAATTTTGAGGAATGTTTTATGACTCTGGGGATTAGACATGATAGTGATTCCCAGGCGGTAATAAAGGCAACTTGGTCTGAGGGAAGCTTTATTCAACCATGACAACATGGGGGCTTTGCCACTTATTCAGTGGAAGAAAACTGTATTTTTCCTCACTGTCAAGTCTCATATCATTGACATCCTGTCTTTTTGTTTAGATTTTAGAGGCCTTTGCTACAGAGGACAATCACTTCATAAGGAATTGCAAAAGACTCATATCCCTAAGCAGTGCTGTGGCCACCATGCCCCAGTATGAATTCCGGCAAATCTGTGACACTAAGCTGGAAAGCATTAGCAGAAGGCTCACAAACTACCAAGAGGTACAACACTACTAGTTATTGGTGAAGTCTGAAGACAATACTTTGTTGTGGTAACTGGGTCTTAGTATTCTTTATTAAAGAATCCGAACTGCTTTAGAGGTGGGTGTCCTAGAGGCATGAAAACAGCTCTGCAAGTTATTGAAATAGCAAATTTTGAGGAAAAAGGACCTTATCTGTAAATCACTCCTTTCAGCTCGTCAGAGCTGTGGGTTATAACATATTATTGCAGCTTCATTTTCACCATATCAGTGAATAAATGACAACGGAATGATCAGTGTCTGATTTAACATGAACATAAGTATAGTGTATCATAGTGTAAACAAACCATGTGTGCTTTTTTGCGCGGTTACCTGAGCTGTTTGAAAAGAGAGTCCTAGAAGGTGTAGCTAATTGCTTTCATTTGTTGTTTTATGAGCTTTTTTTTAAATGTGTTATTCCAGCTGCAGCAGAAATCATATGATTCTGGAATAGGAGGCAGGAAGAAAAAAGGATTGTCTGTATTGCATCATAATTTTTTGCAAATGAAGTAGCACATGCTTGCTTTATTTCTCCCAGTTTGCAGATGAATTGAAAACAAAGGTGAGTCCAGCCTTCAAACAAGCCATCATGGAACCACATTCCCTCAACAGCATGGATTTCTGCCCCACCAACTGCCATGTTAACCTCATGGAGGTATCATACCCCAAAAACACTACCTCAGCAGGGAGGTCGTTCAGCATTCGCATTGGACGGAAGCCTTCTATTATTGGTCTTGATCCAGAACAAGGTGATAATTAACTTTCAAATCGTACTGATTTTATCTGCATAAAAAGTTGTGTCTTTCCACTGCTCAGCAGGGTCAAAATAAGTTCCAAAGAAACACAGTCTTGCCGGTACCCTTTTTTCTTACTTAAAATTTGACAGTAAAATGACAGCTTCCTTGTGTTGTAAAATAGTAATGCCTTTAAGCATAGAGAAGCTTCAGGTCAAATGTTTTTACTAGCTAAGCAGTGTGGTCATCTCATGATAATTAAGTGTCCTGGAGTATTGTTTGCACTTAGTAGAGGTGACTAAAAGAAAAGTGAATGGGGGCTAATAGTAGTGCTAGTGCTGTGAAGAAAGGCTACATTCAGGAGGAAAACATGAGTCAATCAGATTGTAGTGCTGTTTTCTTTTGTCATTACTAAATAAATTCCATGTGTTGGGGCTGAAAGTTTCTACTCTGTCAAGGGGATCTATTTTCTGATAAATAGCTGCTACATAGCATTTGTCCTATAACCTGATTATTTGAGTTCCAACATTTTTTCATCATGATCTCACCTAATATGCTTCTGATTCATTGTCTTGTGAAGGTCAGTGCAGGAATGTCTGGAAGAGACGCAGGGAAGTGTAGACTAACCAATCTTCTGAAGAATGGCATTGACTATTCAAAATGAGGTCAATAAAGAAGCCCTGCTCGCTTGAAGATATTAAAATTCCATAGTATTTTTAATGCGAGCTGAGGTGGTTAGCAAAGTACCATACCAAGACGTCAGCATTTTTAAAGGAAAAGGCATTTTATTTCTCTTCTGTAAGGACATAATCCTGTTTCTTTTTTATATATATATATGTGTGTGTGTGTGTAAATGTTTGCAAAGCTGGAATAATAACAAAGACCAACTCCTGAGAACCTGAATTCATTAACATTTCAACAAATGCTTTTAGATACTATCCATGTTGTCTGTATGAGTATATGTGTGGACACTTGCTGTCTTTCCTTCCATAATTTAACCTGTCTCTGGACTGCAGTAAATTCAAAACATCTAGTTGGCATGCCAGGAAAAAAACCCAAACCTTCTTTTTTTTTTTTTTTTTTTGAATGTTTTTGTCATAGATTGTAATTATATAAAATAATTCTATGAAATTTTATTTTTTCCTGTTAGAATTCCACCTATCCTAAACTATCATTATTGGGATGGAGTGGGGAAAGTCATGAGAGCCATACTAACTAGACCCTTCAATGTTTAGTAGGTACCTTAAATCCAGTCTCATATACTCAACATTGCATCACCACTATGGCTGCACCATCCTGGAGATGTCTGACCCCAGAAGATGGAGATCTTGATGGTAGCTTTGGCCAGCAGAATGGAGGAACAATTCAGGAAGAAAGGGGACTCAGTTTTCTGCTGAAACAGGAAGATCGGGAGATACAGGACTCATACTTGCACCTTTTTAACAAACTTGACATTGCAGTGAAGGAAATGAAGCAGTATGTCATTCAGATAAATAAGTGAGTAAAGAATCCCGTATGCACTGCAGAGAGCAATTCTGATAAAATGGAGGCATTAACCTCAGAAAACACATTGTGCCTGTCGACCCCAGCTGTCATACTCTTATGCTCACCTATTCACACGTGCACTTGCATTACAGCTCCTTGCTGGTTGTGTCAAACCTACTCCTGTGCAGATCCACCAATGTATATATTATTGCCCTTTGCTCCTAAAAGGCTACCTGAATTCAACAGTCACTGTTTTGCTTACTGTATATTCCAATATAAAAATCTATTTGGTGCCAACAGCAGTTTTGGAATTCCATATAGACAGAGTCCCTACCCTTGAGGTTTTGACTGTCATAAGGCAGACTAAGCAAAACTTGTGATTTCAGGCAGCTTTCTCTATGGCACCTATGTTTTCCTTTCCTCTTTTTGTCTAGTTCTTTTTCTCATCATGGGTCTCCTAGTAGTAGTAATGAAGGATTTGAGTAGTGCGTCTGTGTATTGTGCATAACTGGCAGGATTTTGGTAGCAGGGGCTGCAGGGGTGATCTGTGTGGGAGGAGGCCATAAGCTGCCCTAAGCTGTTCACAGCCACTTCCAGGAATCCCAGTAACAAAAAAGAACAGCCCATTGTACACCAAAACTTCAACTGACCGTAAAGCATGTGGAGCCTTGGCTCAAACATATTTAAGAAAGGCCGGTAGCTGCTGGGTAGAGCCAGCGAGCTGAGGCACTGCCTCACTCTCACTGAGGAGAAACCCAGCGCCTTGGATGGAGAAAGTGAGGACTTTGGCAAATTAAAAACAGAGCTCTTTCAGGTCACCGTGGTTACAGTGATTAAGCTGTACCTTATGGAGGTAGGGTACCTATGGAAACAGGACCTTTTGTGAAGGTCATTCATGGATTTCAATGAACCCCTTTCAGAGCTTGCAATTTTACATAGCTGTAGTCTATGTAAAATAGTGGCAAGGTTGCTTTTGATTTCACATAGCTGAATTCCAACCTTAGTCATTATACTTCATTTGTGAGACTACCCACCAGTCCCTGAGAGCTGTGCGTTTTACTTTTGCAGACTTTTGTCCACCATAACAGAACCTACAGAAGGTGGTGCCTGTGAGCCACCATCTACTGAGGAGACATCTCCACCTTCCCTGGGAACAGAGGAGAGTGATCCTGACAAAGCTGAGCATGGTGGAATCAAGAAGGTCTGTTTCAAAGTTTCTGAGGAGGACCAGGAAGACTCTGGGCATGACACAATGAGTTTCAGAGACTCGTACAGGTTAGTCTGAAGATTGTGCCACTTTTACCTTACTAATGTAATGTTTTGAAGCTCTAATCCAGGTGTGGATTCAACAAGCAGGAGGACCTTGTTTGTTTTTTTACCCCAAACCACACAATTGTCACATGAACTCTTGCTAAAATTACACTGTAGTACCTGCAGCTCTTCTCCTCATCTTTGTCTGTCTCATTTTCTCTCAATATGATAGTAGTAGATGACAAATCGATAGACCAGGATTCTTTTCTAGAGCAGATTATCGACTATTTACATACACCAGCAGGTACATCTTGCATGACTAAAATGGCCAGCAATCAATCTAAATTTTCCGAAGTGTGGTACATGTGCATGAACATGGTGCATTTCTCCATGGTTCACCAGAAGGACTTCATGTGATCTTAATCTGAACAGTGTCTGTGGAGTAACATCTATGAAAAGGAAGCAATCGAAGAGTACTAGATTGTAAGTCTTGACGCAAGTGTGCATCTGTTGCTGTGCCATGAGGATAACCACTCTTTGTGTGGCTCTGTGTTGAGTAGCGATGAATTGCCATGTGAGTCCTCCTAGCAGAGTGGAGGTCCAGATTTCCCCAAGGCATGTCTTCATTCCTGTTGCAAGTGTTTTCTCGGAGCTTTTGTGTTCCCAAGAATTATTCTATTCTTGGAGCTATGTGAACAGTTACATATCAAATAAGAAGCTGCTGCACTTACTTTATTTAACTACGACGTCTAGAATTCTCTATCTGGGCTGACGTTTGCCTGGTTCTGAACTGTGCTGCTCACATCACAACGAGCAGTATAGTAGTAGAAAGCACCAAAACCCAGCAGACCTGACAGACCTTCAGTGGACACTGGATTTTTGCTGATCTGTTGACACTCAGAACAATCTTAAGGTCTCCTGATGGGCTTTTCGATAGTTGTTGGAAGTCTCAGTTGAGGTTTTCCAGATAGACTACATCCAGCATCAGTCGTGGTGTCAGCTGTGCATCCCCTAAGTGAACACCGTAGGGTTTTTTTCTAAAGAAACAAACAGTAATTAAATATCTTACTCCATTAGTCCCTTGAAAATACCACCCTAGCCCTAACCCTCTTAAAGGTTAGAACTAGTTTTTCTAAGTTTGATTATTTGAAATAACGTTATTTTCCAGTCAGTCAATTATTCTGAATTCACTTAGTGAAGTATTCACTAGCTACAGTTACTTCATTACATTTACTACCATGGAGACACACAGCAAAAAACCTTTTCTCATAACAATGCCAAAATACCAACGCTTCTCGAAAATTGAATAAAATGAAATAAATAGGTCTCGTGTGACTTTCCCTTTCTATATCATATAGTTGGAAACTACAGAAGCTCGGCAGAGTTTGCAAACTGTTTGGTCTTAGTCGCTATTGTAAGGGAATATTTCCATTCAATTCTGCAAACAATTTTCCCAGAAGTCTACAACACTGAGAAACAGAAGTGGACATTGAGTTTTTTATTTTTAATGGGCCTTTGAAACCACAAATGCAAATGTTTATTCAGGTGTCTCAAAATCTTGTTTTTGGGACATGATTGCTGCTTCTCCAGGAATATTTGCTACGAAAGGAAATCTCACACACTCCAAATCTGTCTTTCTTGGGAGGAAACATTTGGAAACTCCGCTTCAGAAGAAATGGAACAACAAGTTGCAGTCATGTCTGACCATTGCAATTTTACATCCTTAATAGGCCATTTTTACATTTATAGTAGGGCCATAGGACTTTGCCTATACGAAGGAGTAAAGACACTTTACAGTGAGTTGGGAGGATTAGAGTAACCTGAATGAATGACGCATCTTTGAAACTTCCATGTTACAGGTCTGATTCTTGCTGTTGGTTTTGTACTAGTACAAGTAGTAATATGTTACATTCATGCAGAAATGACAGAATCTGACAACATCAGAACCCCCTTTACATTGGAAGGGGTCTCTGGAGCCCACATGGTCCAATCTCTCGCTCAGAACAGGTCCAACAAGATTGGTTGCTCAGGGTCTTGTCCAGTTGAACATTGAACGTCTCCAAGAACAGCAGATATGAAGTCAGTAAAGAAACAGAACCAGCACTCACAACGTTGAGATCTGTGGCATCTATTTATTGTGCTAGATTTATATCTGCACATCTACTCTGAAGCTTTTTTATTTAAAAGTGCTGTATTTCTTTCATTGTTAATAGGAATCCCATTTATGAACACACTTTTGTTTAAATGATTTCTGTAATTGAGGCTAATCTATTCTGGGTTACAAAGTGTCATCACAAACAGTCTCTGTGGGTCTGTCACTTGTTCCAAAATTCTACACGTAAACATACGATGAGAAAGATTATTCTGTCTTGTCTTTATTAGACAGAGGCAGAGAATTAATCATATATTACAGATAATACTTATTCAAGGGGGAATAAAAGGTATTTTGGTGGGTTTTGATCTCAAAAAACTACTGAGGAGCTACAAAAATAACCAAATTACAGATAAGAAAATATCTTGTTTGCATTAGCCATGCTTCTTTCTCCGGGATCATTTGGAGGTGTTTTGAACCCAAATTTCAATAGGGTTCATACTGCAGAGTAGTTCCCGTAAGTATTAATCTTCTTCAGAAAAAATAGGTTTCTTTGATAATAGGTTTAACAAAGGACAGGCAAGAACCCTGATTAGGGTTCTTTCAATTGGTCTTACATTTTTCTCTCATCTCAGTCTAAAATTAAAACAGAGGAAGAGACAATATGGAGTTTTGTAGGCTTTGTTTTGGGCTTTACCATTAAAAACAGCGTCACCTAATTAGAGGGGGACAGACTGAGATCCATAGCCTTTTTGATTACTTTTATTAAGTTATAATTAGTGTAAAGTGAACTTTAAACAGAGGAGATTCATACTAGAATTTTCCAGGTGTGTATGAGCCAACATTGGTGTGAAGCCAACTGTAGTGACTCCTCTGCTTCCTGAGATAGTTTTAGGATCTGCAGTGCCTGATTCTCCGATGGTATAGATTCCTTACATTTCCTCTCCCATCTCCAATATCTGTGCTACTGCAGCTTCAATATAGGCTGGAGTTGGATGCTGTAATATCCTGAGAATTGGTAACAAATGTTGAGTTTAGTGGAGATTCAATCTCACAGATTTTAATTATTTCTCCCCTACTCGATGCTCATAGAGCATGTTTAATGATGCGATCCAGATGAGGTCCGTGGTGGGAAGTCCGTTTTCATTATTTATAGGATCCAGGTGATACATTAAGCATTGAGTGGTCACTACAAATGGAAAAAGACATCCTCTTACAGTGCCAGCCCTAGAGGCCTTGCTTAATGGTTGTTCTGCATGTAATTAGTTTTTCTTCTGTATATGCGTAACAGAATTAGTTTTGGGGATTGCAGTGTTGTTAAAACCAGAATGATGGTATATCAGAGACTGGGTTTAAGGACAGCTTTTTTCAATCACCTTCTTTGCTTTTCTTTCTAGTGAATGTAACAGTAACCGGGACTCAGTGTTGTCGTACACCAGTGTACGGAGTAATAGCTCTTACTTGGGCAGTGATGAGATGGGATCAGGTGAGTATATGCATAGGTTACATACATGTTTCTCATACCAGACCCCTTAGCAGAGCTGATAAGTCTTTGCTGATTATAAGCACTTGCATATTTAAGTTGCAAATGTGGTTTCTTCAAAACTAATCACAAGAACATAAAGATAGAGAATTGTTCTTTTTCTAATGAACCACAGTAAATTTGGAATATGGAAGAGCTATTAGGCAGGGATAAGCTGCTTTAGTTATTGGACCTTTGCATTATATGAAAAATCACGAGTATTTTGATCTATGAATTAGAGATAAAGCAGCAATCATTTTTCACCCACTCCAGTGTGAAGGTGTGCTTGTGTCATCTGTGGCCTCATCACAGATTACGTTTGTAAGACAGTTAAAAGCTTTTCATCTTTCCTTTATTAGGAGATGAGCTTCCCAATGATATGAGGATTCCTTTAGACAAGCAAGACAAACTTCATGGCTGTCTGGAACATCTTTTTAACCAGGTCTGTAAAGCATTACTATAACACAGAATCACTTTCTCTTTATCAATGTCAATACAAGAAATTGGAAGTATCAAATTGTTTAATGAAAGCATATTTTGAGGGAAGGCAAACTGTCAAGATTTTGGGGTACAGTGCAAGCAAGTATATTATGGGACAGGGAATCAACTTTGTCAACATTCAAGTTGCCTTGTGTGATTTAAGCAAGGTTGACCTGCCTTAGCTCAGGCATTAGACTAAGGGGAAAAAAGCTTTCATGAAAAAAAGGAAAAGGTGAACAAAATTCTAATACCTTGTATGATCTAAATGGATCATATTTACAGATCTCAGGAGGGTCCTTGCAAGTTTAGCCAACAGATGTCTTTATAGAGGTATAGCACCAGAGAATTGTTTTGTATTATCTTTTATCTCATCAGCATGTAGATCGTCATTGTGCAAAATGCTGTATTCAATATGAGAGACTCTTGAGGCCAGTTCATGGTTAAAAAGTCTTAATGCTATTTGTCAACGAGAAATCATTCCAAAATACAAATAGTGTAATGGCTTTTGCTTTTTCCCACAAGAGTTCTGTTCAGATTTTTTTCTGCAAGTCTTAGTAACACTGATTGAAAACATTCCAATTGTAGGTTGATGCAATCAATGCACTTCTAAAAGGACCAGTAATAACTAAGGCCTTTGAAGAAACCAAGCACTTTCCAATGGACCACAGTTTGCAAGGTAAAGAAGAAGGTTGATTGTATTTAATAATGTGATTTCCTAGGACTTAAGAGCTTAACATGAATGCACATACACTATACGGCCACACAGAGTTACTTAACTATGCAGTCTACCCAGTCATACATTAAAGGCAGGTACCGTGTCTGACCGTTGAAATTTTGCATCCTTAAAAGGTCATTTTCATGTGCATTCCTTCTGAATCACACAGAACACTTTTCTGTTATATGCCGTTGAATCCTCACAGCTCCTTCACAAGTCTCCAAATCTATCCTTTGGTGTGAACACAGATATGTATCTCAAAAGGTACAAGGTAGAGATAGGTCAGATACAAGGTAAATGGGCTCTCTGATAAGCTGATGAGGGGCTGACCGCTGTAGATCTGAAGCACCAAAAGGTTCTGCCTGAGTTTGCTTAATGACTTATTCTGCTTTTCTTCAGATGGATAATTGCCAGAGTAAACTCATCCTCACATGACACTTATTTTGAAAACTGATTCCCGTAGAGAGCAAACAAATGATACCGTGTTTTCTTTTTCCTCAGGGAGCATGATGAGACTTTGGTCTTAATGGTTTTGGGGCCCAGGATGTGGTTTCTTCTCTCACTGAAATACACAGGACTTTATTTTCTGAACATTTGCTGCATTTCCTTTCCCACTTGAAATCTGAAATGTTTCCTACTATTCCTACTATACTTCAGGTGCTGTAGTCACGCTCCAACCTTTGACAAGCTCTATTTTTAAGTTACAGCAGCAAACTCTAGAAGAGAGCTTTTTCTGCTTCTTTTTCCTGGCTCCAGAAATAACTCCTATGAAGTTCTGTTACATGAACTCATCTCTACACGTTCACATTTATGTAGAATATCTGTTAGTCTTTCCATGCACTGTTTGAATGAAGTGAAGAAATAACAGACACCCTGTGTTCACTTCCGTTATTTTATTTTGCTTAAACAGAGTCTCATTTATTAAAAGTAGATTAATTACACTGAGAGAGTCTTTTAGTTAACTGAAGTTGACTGAAGATCCCACATTCATCACACTAACAGACAAGCCCTGCTTACATTCAGCTGGAATCCTGCACCAAAGTGTCTGTTTTATAGCTACGTAGACACCTTTCAGTGATGGATGTAAATTTGAATGCTATCCTGTTTCTGTTCATGAGCAGTTATTTGGCACAGTTTTTCTGTGTTTCTCTGTCTGCTTATGCATTTCATCACCAACAATGGGGTATTTGGCTTAGCTACATAGCTAAGTCATGGAGGATAAATCTCCCCTCTGTAATTAAATAATTAGCTTCCATCAGGTGAAAGAAAGCAGAATATTTCATAACTTCTCATCAGTATTATGGGATGTGACAACTGCAGCCAAAAAGTTGATCTGATTCTGCACAGCCAGAGACTCTAGATCTACCCGATATAGCTGCCTGCACCTTATTAAAGGCAGAGAAAACAGAAGGGAATTCTGTGCTTTGTGAGTAGTGTAGAGCTCCCTTCGCGGTGCATGTCACCCATGTACATAACTTTTAGTCCACAGTCCTGAAAACAATGCTAGGAGACTGCTGATCATGAGATTATAGGAATAGTCTTTTTTTCCTTCTGTATTAGATCTACTTAAGAACCTTTTTCATTCACAGTTGTTGCTATTGATACTGTATCTCTGCTTTCATCTGTATACACATTATAACTCATAAGCCGCTCTCACCTATGTAGCATTTCCTTAATGGCTAACAAACTTCATTTTGTCTAGAATTTAAACAGAAGGAAGAAACCACAGTTAGGTGCCGGAATAATATTCAAGCCAGCGTTCAAGAAGATCCATGGAACCTTCCATTGCGCATCAAGAACCTTGTTGAAATCATACAAAAACATGTGGAAGGTCTGTAGATAAGGAAAAGTTTATCGGCTTCGGGGAGAAAAGATCTTGATCTAATCAAGTCTAGCAGTTCACTTTATCATTTTATCTCAATTTGTAATAAGGCTGTACTGGGCTCTAGAGAAGAACAGGTAAAACAGGTTATTGTTTGCAGAGTCCCAGTGCTGTATGGTAAAATCTGACCTGTGCAGCAATTCCAAAGAACTTTCTCTCCCTGATTTCACCAGCGCATTCAGACAGAATGGTATCAGACTGATCTATTTCCCTGTGCTTTTTTTAACCCTTTTAGAAAATGGAGGGAGATGCTTGATATATTCCAAAATGAAATGAATGCTAATCAGACACTACAACATCCTAAACTATTGCAGTCTGGTTGAACTGGAACAGGAGCTGAATCTGTTGTTTACAGACCAGTGCAAAGCACTGGACAGAAATCACCTCCTTAGGGATTCATCTACATGTGCAATTTGTTTCCAATAATTCATGGTAGTTAACAGAGCATTTAGCCTGTAAAATTCTTTGATTTACACCTTGTTTCTTTTTCAGTTGTTAACATGTCTGTGTGAGTAAGGACTACTAGAGTAAATAGAAATGGCCACGCAGGGGCCAGGGATTGTGGGGAATGAGGAGACTGTTAACCAAATGCAATCAAATCTACCTTGGTATCATGTTGACTAGAGCATTCCTTTTCTTCACTGTTTTAGATGGGAAGAATCAGCTGCTTTTGGCCTTGTTAAAATGCACAGGTATGGGATTTTGATTTGTTGCAAAACAACATCGTATGTACAGAAGTCCCTAACACTTAGAGTTTTATGTGCATGCACGTGCATACATCAGAATGTTATGTTTTTCCTTAGCATTTAGGTTTTTCCCTGGCATTTTATGCTAACATTTCTCATGCTCTGCATCTAGGGCAACTTTCCATGCATCTGACATCTGTTCTTCAGTTTACATTATTTCAGTTCACTGTAGGCTGCTTGTGTTACCTGGCTGATCGCTGATGTTTCACAAGCACTGTTTTTCTTTTTACTGTCTTCATTTTTTCCTTTGCACAATCCTCCTTCCCAGATGGCCTTTACTGTTTCCTGCTGTGGTGAGAACATGCAGCAAAAATGAGACCTATTGCACAACTTTCTGTGAGACCATGGACTCTGTCATCTTTCCAAACAGAGCAGACGTGTTAGGAGTTAGGATTGTGTATACTGAGATTACAGCCAGGAGCAGACTAAGAACCTAAATGTGCAGGTAGCACCTAAATACACTGTGGACATTATTAATCTGTTACCATGCACAAAACACTGTGCTCGCAGATCAAGGGACAGGCCTTTCCCAGGAGTGAATGTGCAGTCTTTTTGTAATTGAAACACCTACTTGGTTTACTTTTGTTTGAAAATGAGATAATAAATAATTGGAATAGGCTGTCATTATTTCACTGTGCCAGACTTGATTCTCAAGTCTTCATAGAATGAAGATGAGAGATTTGTATGGCTCTAAGTCACCTCTCAGCTCCTGCCAGGGCTGGTCCATGAGTCTGTCCAAACCAGCCTGTGGCACCAGCCTAGTGTCCATAAAGGCTGTTTTTACTGTTAGCAGATATAACGACTCCCTAAGTCTCTACCTGTCCCCCATCTCCTGCAGCATTTCCATGAACATCCTCTGGAACGAATGGAGGAGCAGATGGCACTGAACTGGCTATGGCAGCTTTATGGCACCAGGGATTCCCTTGCCTTGAGGGCAGTCCTAAGCTCTCTTTGCCTTACTTCCAGCAGTACAGAGGTGTACTGCTAGGATTGGTTGCCCTGAAGTTGAGAATGTGGCCCAGGGCCTGGAGTGTATTAGTCGGTCTATTGTGTTCAGCGCTTTATAAAAATAATCCAGATCTTCAGAGCCTCTGGGTGATGTCTTTAGCTTCTTTCTCTGGGGAACACTGCCTTGACAATGCGAGACTGCTGTACTGCAGTGCCTGCTGGAGGAGCCCAGGGTGCCTGGGAAGTAGCTCTTCACTTATTCATGTGCCTCTTTGGCCTGCAATCCCCTTAAGTGTGACGGGGTTGATTTGACCAGCATGTGGCTGCCTGGCAGGCAGACTGGAAGCAAAGTTAACACAGGGGAAATTCTCCCAGGAAACATAAACCAATTGGTACCCTATGGGCAGGCCCAGTTAATGTATTAAGCATATGGGAAGCCCAGAAAATACAGATGGGTGGGGGAAAATGAATCTCTAATAGCCCAGGAGAGAAGTAATGGCAGAGACCTCCTTTCAAGAATTCTCTTGCTTCTGTAAACATAAAAAGAAGGGAATCGGTCCAGATATGGCACTAAGGAGTTACAGCTCTTCCCAGTCAGAAGAATGAGCATGCAGATGGCAGAGGTAGTAATAAACAATCAAGTGGACTAGAAAATTTTTGAACGTGCATGTGCTCCAGCTATGCTGTCTTTATCTATACACCCAGGTCACACAGCAAGAAGAGGTTATCTGTTAAGTCTGTGCAAAGCTACCGCAGAAGCCAAATGTCATGCACGCACACACACACACACGCAAACTGCTTCTTTGGCAGTGAGATTAAAGACATGTATACTCATGACTTCTTTATGCTTCTCTCCCCTTTTCTGGCAGATACTGAGCTACAGCTGAGACGTGATTCCATCTTCTGTCAGTCCCTTGTGGCTGCTATTTGCACCTTTTCAGAGCAGTTACTGGCTGCTCTCAACTATCGATACAACAACAATGGGGAATACGAAGAGAGCAGCAGAGACGCCAGCAGAAAATGGCTGGAACAGATAGCAGCCACTGGTGTTTTGCTAAACTACCAGTCTCTTCTCTCCCCCAGTGTGGTAAGATGAAGAGTTGTGGCACCCTTGGGTCTGCCCACACTTGCCTGTATGCTTCTCTGCCACTCACAGCACAGCCAGAGCCCTTCATCCTAGCAGCATGTTTAGACTGTCACTACAGCAACCTCTGGAGATTCCCGCTGCTGACAACCATGTGCCAATATTCCATATCCCATCATTTTCATCTCCTCACAAATACTGGGCCCACTGTCACGCTAGAACACTATAGGAATTCACACACTCCAAATAGTGCCTTCGTATTTGGAGAAATGCTGCTGCATTTAGGGAGGTTTTACTGCTCAGTTGTTGGTGACGCATGTGTGGCCTGCCATCTTCTGGTGAAAACACACATTTCAACAAAGAGGTGAGAAAGTTCTGAGTATTTCAAGAGTTCGGACAACATGAAAATCTAGGCTTTTGTTCATACACTGGACACTTTTATAGAATAGATAGACTGCAGTCTCTCTCTCACTTCTGTGGTGCTGGTGTTTGAGGCACCATGTCTAAGGAGGAGAGGAGCTGGTCTTGCATAGTTCATCTGCACCTAATGAACAGGTAAGCCACAGCTACAGTAGATAAGCTACTGCAACTGTAAAAATGTTAAGAAAAAAGGACCATAAAAAAGATAAGTTGCTCTGACACTATAGAGAAGCGACTTTTTTGGGGACTTTGTAAACACTGTAGATTGAGTGTGTTGGTTTTTTTAAATAAGATCCAAACTATATCTGTATGTAATTATTTCTTCACATTGCATGGAAAGTATGGACATTTATTTCACAGTAACTGATAGGCTGCTTCACATTTTGTATGTAATTATTTCTTCACATTGCATGGAAAGTATGGACATTTATTTCACAGTAACTGATAGGCTGTTCTTCACATTTGTAGGTGTAGAGTAAAGTTTGGAGAAAGAGATCCCTTCAAACTTACTCAGTCCTTAAACCTCTCTACTCTCTGTGAATCACATCAAATGACATCTAAGCAAAGGGTAGCTAAACCCGTATCACAAAGTTAAAGAGTCATTAGTAATTACCTGGCTGGGATGGAGTTAATGGAAAGCTCCACACTCTGCTCTAGGTCTCCTCAACCAAAGCATTCCCATAACAACTATACCTTCCTGCCATTGATCTCTTTCTGACAGATTATAACCTATTTATATCTGTTTCTTTGCTCTACAGAAGGAGGAGCGTACCATGCTGGAAGACATCCAGGTCACTCTGACTGAACTGGACAAAGTTGCCTTCTATTTCAAGCAGCTGGATGAAAGTCTTGTAGCAAGTGAGTATTCTCTGTTTCTTTGAAGCTCTTTTTTTCTTGTTTGTTTTATGGGTTAATATCTTCCATGATTATAAATCTAACAGACCATGTCAGACCTGGAGAGCACTGAGCAGCTTCTCTGAAGCACTGTTGCATTCCCTCAGCTTCCACTGCAAACACACAGCATAAAAAGCAGGACTGACATCGTGGGGTGCTGGTGGCATGTTCTGTGATTTGTAACTATGGTCTGTGCCAGTGTACCTTACCTGTGTGATTTCACACACAGGAAGATATGTCAGATGATGAGCAGTTCCTGACAGATGTCTGTAATTCACCACATTACCTAAAGTAGAAGGACTGTCCCTCCCCAGCTTTTCTGTGTCCCACCCTGCCAGATCGCTCTCCGTGTTTACTGACTATGAGATGCCATGAAACAAGATGGGATTTTAATTATTAACCATGTTTATTGTATTAGCATCAAATGTCATGCTAGGTCATGCTAACTGTGTATCTTTTTAAGTATAGTATTTCAGAGCCTGCATTCTCTCAATAAAGGCTCTCCCTTATTCATCTAATGGTGGAGATGTGAAATGTCATTAGATAATCTAACAAACTCAGATAGCAATGGTATCCTGCTGTGGTAAAGCAGCAAGCGTTTTATCTTTATTTCTCCAGATACTCATGTCTTCTACCACATTGAAGGAAGTCGTCAGGCCTTGAAGGTTATCTTTTATCTTGACAGCTACTACTTCTCCAAACTGCCTTCTCGGTTTCAGAACGGGGGAAGCTTGAAACTGCACACGGTGCTCTTTACAAAAGGTGTCTGTAAAAAGCTTTCTTGAGAAAAATAAGCTAACTGATGATGTTGAAAGAGTCAAAATAAAGAATGACCATGAAGCTCTTAACATAATGCAGCTGAGAACTACAGACATATTTAAGAAGCAGATGTTTCTATTCTAGGAAGACCTGGGGAGTGCTAGATTTTAGAGTAAGACACAGTCATGAGAACAAGATATGCCTGTTTGGGGCTTTTTTATGCATTCTTGTAAAGGCCATAGAGATATTATATTGGACTACATGGACAATCTGATCTAGTATGGTATCAGGAGATGTTCCCAGGCTATAGAGAAGTGTTTTTAAAAGCATACACCATGACAGAATCATCTGGGCTGGAAATTGACTTGATAAGCAAATATTCACACCAAGATACAATTCAGGACATTTCCTTCAAGGGGATAATAATGGAGAGTAATTGCTGTTAGACAGAACTGCTTTCTGTGAAGCTCACCTTTATGATACTACCACTATATTCCCATACTGGGAAATGCGTTAAATTTATGCAGTAACAGAATCAGCCTTGACATGATCCAACAGTCATTTGCTGAGCAGTGAGATGATATAGAGATAAATAAATAAATGAATAAAAAGAAAACTAATAACATAGGTTTAGTAAAATGTTTTCTTCTTCAGCTCTGGAGAGTATGGAGGGGCAATCACAACCAGCTGGCTCACCTCTAGAAGAACTTCCACAGCAAATTAATGGTATTTCACTTGAAAAAGTGCAGCAATACTACCGTAAGCTCAGGTATTTCATGCTTCTCCTTTTCCTTAAAAGACATTGAAAAGAGTGCTCCTTGCTAAGGACCTTAAAATTTAACAAAAAAGAGATTCCGTTTCTGATGGTTTCTTGTACAAATGTGGGGTTTGGAGATCCTTATTGTGTGGGAAACTTGTTAATTTTCTTCCCATAGTTAAGCTCATTCTGAAGTAGTGCACTGTACAGGATGAAATTCCCATCTAATTTGACTTCAGAATTTTGTGCAGAGCTAAAATTGCATAAAAAAGGGGATTTGGAATATTTTAGTATAGACTGTAAATTACTGCAATCAAAATGGTTCAATAAGAAAGCAGATCTTGAAGTACAAGATTTTTAGCATAGCCTTCTCAGATGTTTTATACAAGATAGTATACTTACATGTGCTTGAAATGAGACACACCAACTAATGTAGTCCTTGCTGGCCTTTTTGCAGGACATTTTACCTAGAGAGATCAAACTTGCCCACTGATTCCAATACTACTGCAGTGAAGATTGACCAGGTATTGTTATTGTGTTTATTTCTACAATAAATTCTCTCATAGAAATATTATCCTACATCTCTAAAATCCCAGTCGTGGGATACCTGTATGGCAGACCTGTACAAACCCAAACACCATTTAAAAAATGTTCCCTACCCTAAAGAAGCCATCTGAATTTCTCTGAAGCTTGGCTACAGTTCTTTTGTTTGGAAGAACATGGGCAGAACTGGGGTAGACGCAAACCCCTTAACTTAGGCACTAATAAGACTCCATATCACCCTGACTGCCCCTGCTAAATATGGTATCTGATGTTAGACAGAGTGAATTAATTTTCCTCTTCCACAGATGCATGAAAATGAACAAACGTTCAAATTGCGAGTTATGCTTTGTTCACAGTTACAGAAGAAAACAACAGGATCTCGTGTAAAGGCAGGCTGTCTAACTGGGGCGGGTGACGTGAATATATGCATGTAAGGCATTAAATACTGCTGCAGGGAAGACAAAATCAGAGGCTATCTTTGCAATTGTAATATACATTGTAAACAATCTATGTGATTTGTGATAACTGAAAAAAATTGCCCCAAGCCTAAGTAATTGTTTGTATTTTTCCACTTCCAAAGTTCATATGTATTCTAAATAGTTGTTACTGTGTGGCCGTTACTCTTGTGTAGATTATTGTGCTTAGAGATAAGATAAAGAATTGTAAATGTCTTTATAACGGAAGGTGTAAGTATGCCACTGATGCATTTTTTTATTGCTTTGTTTAGCTTATTCGCCCCATTAATGCAATGGATGAGCTTTGCAGGCTGATGAAGTCTTTCATTAATACAAAACCAACCCAGTCAGGATATTCTAGCAGTAACACATCAGGAGCTGGCCTGCTACCCATATCCTCTGAGCTCTGTTATCGACTTGGAGCCTGTCAGATTACTATGTGCGGCACTGGGATGCAGAGGTGAGATTTAAGAAACCTATATGTTACCGGTGTGATGAGAACTTTTGTCCTTTCTAGAGATTTGAGCAGTATATTTGGTTCTGTTCAAAGCAATAGAAAGGTAGATCATAAGGGACTATAATAAGGACCTAAATCTACTGCCATCTTTATTTTAGGGTAGGTTGTGACTTTTAATACTTTTGTTAATAATTAGTATTGACACACAAACTTTTTTATGTTTCAGTGCATCAACCAATGCAACTGACTGAGTGATCTCATTGCATATAACTTTCAGGCAATGTTGTCTTCCATCACACACTGAAAATGTAGGAAGTTGCTTAAAAATAGCTTTAGAATCTTGGTGTGTGCAAGCATTGATTCTAAACACACCACTGTTCTTCCAGTGTCTCAAAACCATTGAGTAAAGAAAAGATTCATTTGTGAATAACTTTATATAAATCAGTGCAGAAGAGCAGTGAAACATAGCCTTGTAGTAATGATGCTGGAGACTCAAACAATTGCAGTATCTAGGTGTAACGAGACTGGAAATGCCGGACTGGGGTCATTTTAGAGTTTTGTAAGTAAAAAAATGAAAAAAGTAAATATAAGAACACTAGCTAACACAAGTCATCCTTAACAGGTAAGTGTCCTGTAGATACCTATTTATACATTTTTAAATATGATCTGTGATTTTAATATCTCTTGTTCCCATGTTCAGAAGTACATTGAGTGTGTCCCTGGAGCAAGCAGCCATACTGGCTCGAAGTCATGGACTTTTGCCCAAGTGTATCATGCAAGCTACAGACATCATGCGAAAGCAAGTAGGTATTTGGATGTGTGTCTGCTACGTGCCACCATTTTCATTCCAGTAACATCACTGTGCAAACACCAATTTATTTCAGTGTGGCACTGTATTTTGTGCACTACAAAACCATATAGCCGAAGTGCCATTAATGTCTGAATAGCTACACATATATTTGACAGGAGCAAATTAACTTTTGCACGTACAGCCATTACAGCAATTAAAATATATCCCTAAGCGTACATTATTTAAAGTGTGTGCCGTGATGGTTAGAAAGTAGACGCTATCCAGTATATTTAAGACAATTTCTGTATATAAAAACCCCAAGTCTCAATCACAGTGTTAAATAGTAGAAATCCCCTAGTGCTAGATAGCAGTGCTCGTAAAGTGCTTTGGGACTAATTCCATCTTTTAAGTAAACACAGATGACTAATGTATCCACCCAATGGATTCCAAATCTTCTAAAAGTAGTTAATGGATTCTCAGATAGAAACCATACTCCCATTATAATATTTTCCCCTAAGGATCAGATGCTTTATCGATACTGTCAGTACTATAAATTCTCTGTTTCCTTAGGGACCAAGGGTTGAAATCTCTGCCAAGAATCTGAAAGTGATGGACCAAATGCCACAGTGTGCACCTCGGTAGGTTATTATGTGTCATGCATTTTATCTGAGTGCTGGTTTTATGTTTCTGTAACAATTGTGGAGTTCCTGTTATAACCAAAGATCTCCTTAGCAGCAACAGTGGAAAAAAGAAAAAATTCCTGTTCTTCTTTCTCACTGTACTAAACTAAGTGCACTGTAGATTAATCAGCTTTGCTGCTTACAATTTGCAGATCATTAACTTCAAAGGTTTCTGCATTTTCTGAATACAACACAACTGATCAGAGAGGAGGGTCTTTTTTGGACTGTTGCTGTGAGTTGGCAAAGCTAGTGATTGACAGCCCTCTGTGGAATGCTTAGAAAGAAGAATTCCTAAATGGCAAATCTGACTGCAGATATGCAAAGATAATTCATAGGCTAATACCATTGCGTGCTTAGGAGAGCTTGACTGTTTAGTTATGGCAGAGCAGGTTTAAGAGCAAGCACTTCAAGTCAGAGTAACCATACAGTAATGCAGCTCTAAGGAAGATCAGTTGCCCAGGGTTAGGTATGTTTTGTCTAGAAGACAACTTTGAAAAGCACTGTACATTTGTGAATCCTACTGCACCTAACGGGAGCTAGAGATGTTCATCATCTCTCTCTACAGGATAAGAATACCTTTATTTTTAAGGGAAGTATCTCTTTTTGGTCAATTTCCTCCCATTTCATATATCCGAGAGAAGAGAATATTCTTTAATAAACTGTAACACAGCATTTTCCCACAATGGTAGTAACAAATAGGTATGATTTAGATGACAATATATACAGAATCAGTCTGTACAAGTATCAGAGAAGCTTCTGATTCTACTCTTGTTGGCATTGTTTACATGAAGGAAAACAGTTCCGGCATGCAGGAATCAGCATCAGAAAAGATCCAGGAAAGTCTGTGCCATCCCTTCAGATAGAGCGGGTGTATTTGCTAGTGCTAGAGTCCTCCAAAGAACATATTCATTCAGTGTCAAGAAGACTTCCTTAAGACACTGGTATCTTATTCACCCATTAAGACTTCTGAGTTAGTCTAAACAAGCCCCGCCTCTTCCCCCCCATCTGCTCTGCAAAATTAGCAGTTTATAGGAAATTATTTTAAACTTTAGAGACTGTGATGATGCTTACCGTAACAGTCTGGCCTTGGTTTATTTTCTCAGAGACCTTAAAAAGAACAATATTTCGCATTTAGAACCTTATCCTTCTGTTGGATTGTAATTGCTATTTCAAAAAGGAATAAAGTAATAGTCTGTGTTGGCTCCTGTACCATGTCCCCAGTGTCATACATCAGCGTTTTAGCAGCATTATTAATGGCTGTACATTACTTTAGTTCCATTTTTATGACCATAACAGCATGCTATGTTCAAAAAGAAACAGCTTTACAAACAAATCATAAGATGAGGCATTTCTCTTCTTTCGTATACTCTCTAAATCACAATGACAAATTCCAGGACTTGGATTATTTCAGGGCAATAAAGCTCAGATACATGTGTTCCTACTGGGTTCCATCATCATCATGTGAAATAAAACTGAGCAAAGTTAAAAGGAGATCTGGTGAATTAATGTTAATTATCAGGGTTATATTTCCTATCATTGAGGTTTGTCAAACTCTGTAGTAGCAGTCTTGAAAGAGAAGTTATAAAAGACTCGAGTTTATTCAAATGTAAAGTAGAAAAAGCCAAGAAAAAGCTACCATAAACAGTCATATATGAATGACAGTCACGATGCGCTTAGGTTTAACCACTGGTCTCAATTTGCTAATCTTGCGATTCACAGAATTTCTGTGAAAACACGATTACTGATTTTAAAGTTTGTTCTACCATGTCAACAAGCACATATGTTCTTTTATCCGTTTGGTATCCCAGTCTGTATGAGGGGTGAACTCTTTCGTTCAGGAAAAATGCTGGACTGAGTTTAAAACAAAAGAAATAGAGAGAAGGGACTGTTGAAGACCCAAATTGGGCCGAAGTTAAAAGGGAGTGGTGGAAAGTCTCAAATAGTATTTAAACAATGATTGTAAATACTTTAGTTAATAAATCACTAGTGGCACTTCTAATCTTGCAATTATTAAAATTAAAAATAATGGTATTCTTGATATTGGATTACCTCTAAAGCTTGCAGAATGATAAAGGAGAAGTTGACTCTCATATACTATGCCAATAACTTTATGTTATCATCCTTATGACGAGATAATACTGTACTCTTCATCTGCCTTAAAGACTCTATAGGTTGTGCCAGCCACCTACAGATGGGGATTTGTAGAAGTGAGAGAGGTACCTACATTGCAGCATTGTTAAAGCATTCAGCTATGAGCAGCCCTGTCTGAGGACCGATGCTAACTGAAACTGATGGCGCTGAATCAAGAGAGGAAGAGATATAGCTCTGGTTGAGTAGGAGATGAACCTGCTGGACCCAGGCACCAAGAATCTGCCTTCGAACTCCTGCAGCACGTGCAGGGATTCCTGTATTTCTTTGACTTCTTGAAGAAATTCTTGAAACAAACACCATAGAGCTAAGATGGATGTTACTGCCATTTGCTAGATGCCTGGAAAAGTGACAATTATATTTCAAGAAAGCGCAGTTTTACTGGTGACTCGTTTGTGCTGCCACCTAAAAGTTGTGGACTTCAAGATACGGATTGGTTAAGAAAATCTAGAACGACGCATATCTCTCTCCCTGTACTGCATCTGGCATCCATTTAATTGCCAGCATAGTTTTGGTCAGCGTCCTTGAGCAGTAGCTTCATAAACACCACTTTTTCATGAACTGACCTGCACTTTTGAACAACGAATAGCACAATCTATGGTTTATTCAAACATGAACATAACAAATTTCTTCTGGAGTAATTTTCCACTTCAGCCCAGTGAGAACCAATCTCTCTATGCTGCAGAGTATACATTCCATAATACTTCTTAACATTACTTCATTTTACTTACTGTAGCTTTCAGGTTTTTGATTAACTCTTTTTACTAATGCCCTATTATGTACTCTGGAAATACAGTACTATTTAAGAGAAGAGATTGGGAGTGAAGGATTTTAAAGGAAACTTTACAAAGGAAAAATACGGTCTTATAATCTGATTATTTGAACAGATGTAGTTTTTAAAACAGGTCAGAAGAACTATACTTATTTATGTGGAGTGGAATATGTGTTTTCGATCATGTTATTATATATACAAGATTTTAAAAAAAAATATATTGTTTAAAATGGGACCAATATGCTGGCAATTACACAGCTACTCCCAGTTTACTGAAAAAAAAAATCTACATTATTTAAAATCTTTCAATATTTAAGTAGCCTTTAATACAGTTATTAAGATGTATTAGGGATGCTTTTAAGTTAAAAGAAAAAGGAATCATGTATATAATGTACTTTATTTTTTCTTGTTTGAAAAATTGTTCTCCATTCTGTCAGTATTATCCTAAGCGCAGTAATTTTTTCCAAATTACTGGCTGAAACTAATTGAAACATGTCAGCAGTCTCAGGACAAAAATAATGTTCTTTTGGAGTGAGTGCCTTAATATGACCACCCGTCCCTAACGAATTTCAATTGTAGCAGGTGTCAGCAGAAGAGTTTATAGAAAACTTACCATTCCTCTGTTTCTCCACAGCCTCGTTTAAAACAGTTCATAGTCAGGAGATCCAGAAGCGCTTTGCAGTGATGTATATTCTAGAAAATAAAGGTTTGGGGTTTTTATTTGTGACGTTGTTTGGTTTTTAGCTGGCTTAATTTCATTTTATTAACATCCAAACCAACTCAAAAACTAAAATTAGACTTCTTCCATTTGGATATGAAGGTCTCTTAAATTTTTTTAATCTACACTTCAACAGAAAATGGCTTATGACAAGTTTGGGGATGCAGATTGTTCTGAACCTTGTTTCTTAATTTTTTGATTTTTTTTTTTTTCTTCACACTCAGACTGAGATGATTTTGGGGAAGGAACGTGTTTTGTTTAATCTCTTACATCTGTTTCCTCTGACCTACAGCAACCTGTTGCAGGGAACTAGGACAACCCGTCAATCGCCAGCTGTCAGATACAGGGGGTTGTTACCGAGTATCCATTTTGTACTGCAGCCAGATGAGCAGATCATTACTTCAATGCACTTTTTGTTAATTTTGGAAGAGTTACTCTTGCCATTTGCTGTTTGAAGAAGAAATGGATGTTTCTTTACTGAATCCTCAACTGAAAATGTACTTAGTATTATAAGAACTGTAGGAACACCCAGAAATAAAAAGAACACATAGGCCAAGATCCTTGCCTTGTCTACATCAGCTCTGTTCAGCGGAACTGCAGCAATTTACACAGCCTGGTGAGGATCCTGGCCCACACTTACGCAGTCACTGTAAACGTTAAAGATGCATAGAAGAGTATCTAAGGGCATTTACACTGTGCACTGTTTTACATTGAAATGTATATGTTATTCTCATTGAAAACGTGATAGAAGTTTTTATTATTAAAAGTTGGTTTATATTATAAGGAAAGAAGGTATGATCTTATTTTTCTGTTATACCCTTTAGCTCCTTAGCTCTAAGTTCTGCCGAACAGTTTAGGTTCTGATATTTGTATGGAGTGATGAGGAGTCAGAAGTTTAAACTGTAAGGGAAAAGTCATTTTTGATATCGGCTCAAACTGGCAGTGTAGAGCTAAACTCTTCCTGTTTGTGCAGTGTTGGCTACAGGTGTGGTTTCATGGCAGAATTCCTATTAAAGTTGAAAAAAAACCAAAACTGTTTTGATCCTGTAAAATTGCAAGGTTTTAATCCAGTGCTGGAAAAAACAGGTTCAAATGGAAAGTAAGAGGGCAATGCACAAGCCAACCTGCAAGTAAAGAGAGTAGATCAGGTCTGCAGAATTTCCATGGCTAAAAGCAAAGTAAGAATCAGGCCTGCCACAACCGAGCAAGCACAGATTTCATAGATCTGAAGCATCTGATACACTGGAAGTGTGGAAAATATGGAAAACACAGTCTAGATGGAGAAAATGGAAACTAGCAGCATGATGATGAGGTGTGTAAGCAGCTGGCTAAAGGGAAGAAGGCAACACTGAAAAGAAAGTGAGGGTTGGGTGGCAGCTGCAAGTGGAATTTCTTATGTATCAGTCTTGTAACTGAATTTGCTTAGCATTTTCATTAATTGCTGAAGCACAGATGCTACAAGGCTGGGGTTAATTGTAAATTGGGAGGCACTAATCTAGAGAAGGATCAGGGTACACACAAAATACAACCCTGGAAGACTTTGAACACTGAAGGGGATGAAATGAATGGGATGAAATTTTACAGTACAAATATTAGCTCATGCACTTGAAGATTAAAGAAAGTATTTTGCTATATTTCTTGTTAATTGATAATTAAAGGACCTTGGTTATAGAGTTTGTCACAAGATGACTCAGATGCAATTTGATAGAATCATGCAAGCTCAGCCTGCACTAGGAGACAAATTTCCAGTTGGGATGGAGAGGTATTCAAGCCACTGTGCAGAGGCCAAATAATTAAGTGAAATTGCAGTAGCTAGATGTTGAGGAAAGCTACCAAAGTGGTATCAATAAAATGGATACAATTCTGCAAGATAAGACCAGGAGAGCTTGATTTATTTAGCCTAAGACACAAGTATAACTGATGTCTTTAATAACGAGAAAGGTAAAGACAATTCCATCTAAACATAAATACAGCCACAAGGAGAAAAAGGATTACAAGCAATCAGGGGTAACTATTGGCTGAAATTTGTTCTGGACCCTAGAAACTCTTTTTTCCCAATCAGGCTCTGACAAAAAAAAAAACAACACTTTTGCAAAGGGGCTTGTAAAAGACAAAGCAGTGGTGCCTAGAGTTGCAGGAGAGCCTCTCGGAGTGGGACAAGGCGGGCCGTGCCAGTCCAGCCCCATTTGACTGCAGAAGCTGTATTTGGCTATGACAGGAGGTAGTGTGAACAGTCCCTGCTTTGTCTGATTTTCTCTGTGGCATTTGCAAAGGTGTAAACTGCTTTTCAAATCCGGGCCTTGGCTATCTGTCAGCATTAGACATTTTCATATTCCAGTATTCATTTACAGACTGAAATACTGGGATTTTTAGATGAGAAACCACAGATTTAGACAAATCTACATCTCATTTCCATTTAGAATAAAAAACATTGAAAAGAAAAATCCACCTGGATTACGGCAAATCCTTTTTCCTCTGTTATATGTTCTTATCAGCAAATAGTGCTATTTTGGGAATATTTTGGCACTAGTTATTTCATGGTTCTAAAGTGATTTGAAGATGTAAAACACTAAGACCTAACAATCAGAATTTCGAAGTAAAAATAATTTGAAACACTCCTACTTCCGTAACAGCGTATACAGTATTTCATCTGTCATAACACTTGGCGTTAGAAATGTCCGACACAGCTTCTAAGCACCTGGTCATTGTTCATTGGTAAAAGGGAAAAAAAACCCCACCAAACAAAAACCCTAACCCAACAAAGGGCTCATGAAACCAGCTTATTCACAACAGCACATAGCACATATACTTACTGATATGATATCATTGATTAATCAAATTACCCAGTACAATTTGTATCTAAAACTAGTATTTGTGTAGCACCAGGGTGTTCAAATATAAAGTTCAAATTTGCCATTCAGAGAAGCCTGCAGTAGCTGTTCATCTTAACAGGGAAGAAAAGCCTTCAAACAGCAAAAGGTATTTTTCCCGCTTTTTAGAATGAGAGTGCCGGCTTTGATTAGCACCAAGAAACCATTGTCGTGCCGTTGGGTTCTGATCCTTCTGTTCCTTCCTATGCAAAAATCATTTCTGTTTCGTGTTAAGTAACATAGTGCAATAGCAGTTTTGATGGTACTGTGGCAGCATCACTGCACTACATCGCTAAAGGAGACTTTGTTTAATATATACTGAAAAAATTCTAGTGTCCTTAAGACATGAATTTCCGAGCGCTCAGTCTCACCATGCCCAACTTCCTTTTCTATACTGAGCAATTCACTTTTCTTCCCTGCTGCAGTTTGGGGAGGGAACTGGGGAGCTATTTTCTTACCACTGGTATTGTGAAGATTCAAAGGAGAAAAATTGTAAACTGCTTTGAAAACTGACAGTGCTTTACATATATAACTAGTTCTAATGACTTAAAAACAGGAAACTAGATGGAGAAAAAGGATAAACGTCACAAAGACACATACAAAAATCTCTGCTTTTAAATTCCCATAAATATCTTAATTGAAAGCACTTGGTATAAAGAAAGATGACAGTATATTTTTGATGTACTTGCTCTGCCCCATTTCAGGATTCAGAAGTACTATGCATTAATACAATCAAGGAACCTAATTTAACATATCTGTTTTCATCAGGGAAGGAGAATAAACTCATATTTATGTGTGAAGTTTCTTCAGACTCCCTTATCTTCAGCAGTTCCTACTCCTTGATTTGAAGAATATCAGAATTCAGAACATAAGTAAATGTTAGGTGAATAGTACTTTAAAAATATGGTCTTGGCAAGAGGATATTCAATTTGGATTTCAGAGTAGCACCTTTTAGTTTGTAAAAAAATTGATAAGCCTTTTATCACAGAGTTTGGCATGAGGATAATACTGTTTATTCAAGGTCCTTTTAATTGCCAGAAGCAGGCTCTGATGCACTGTTGCAATCAAGTGCACCAGAAGAAAGATGTGTCAGTACCTGGACCCCAATCAGCTGAATGGGTTACGCCTTTGTATTCTGAAGCCTACACTGGCTTCAGTGCTGAATTAAAGATGAAGGACCTGATTATCTTAGAACAATAGGTTTGCTTTTTGTAGTTAACCTTTCACAGACATTTCTAGATGAGTTAAGACCACAAGATGAAAATCACTGCACTAGTACAATGCCTTAGAACAAACAAATAACTCACTGAAGAGGACAGAGGACTTTTGAAAGGCCTTTATTTTTGCCCTTTTTACAAAGGGTAGAAATGGCCACAGTAGTCTGGCCATAGGTTAGGCCAAATTTAAAAGGCTCTTAAAGGTTGATTGATGATCAGGTATAGGAGCTCAAGTAAGATTGCTATAGCATTACTGCATTTACAGCTCATTTTGCACCTAAGATCAATTACCTCATCTGGGCAGGGGGGCAATTCTGAAATGACACAAGTTGTATAGTATGGTTTTGCATGAAACAGAACTTTTCATGGTTTTAGGAAAATGTTCCAGAGATGATATTTTTATATCAGCTTATAGGATTAACATTTTCAAATGTTTTGTAAAAAGAAAAAATGTACAGAATATTTGAGAGGGTTTTTCCAGTTAAGTTTGAGGGACTCTAGTGTACTAGTAGTGTTATATTTTTCTTTATGTTTCTGTATTTTTAACTAAGCACGTGTATCCTCCATTAAGATAAAATTCTTAATATAATTTGTTCAACTTTCTGTGTTGTATCGTCTAATCCATGTTGTCATTTTAGCATTACTGACCTGTGTGGGTGCTCTGTGTCTGTATGCTGTATGCTCTGTGTCTGTCAGAGTTGAAGTCAAGCCATTCAGAAAACACTGCCCAGATGGTCATAACGATGCGTCTTCTATCAGACAGGATTCAGAGCACTCCTCTTGGGTTTGGAAGGTTGAAAGGTATCTGAACAGGAGACATTTCTATTGGGTTATTAAAAATACCTGGGCTATCGCTTTAAGCAGAACCTTTTGAACTTCGAGAAGATTGAGAAAGTAAAAAAAAAAACCCTGTATTTGATGGTCAAGTCCTTTTTTGTTTTGTGGGACAAGGGACAATTAAAAGAGCTCTTTCCTGCTGTGTGCAAACTGCATCCTGTCTTTATAGGGCATGAACTAAAGAACGAGATCTACTTCCCCTCCTCTGCAAGAAGAAAGACAAAAACCGGAGCCAGGAAAATGCATTGTTGCCTTCGATTCCCCCAACTGTGCATCTAAAATTTCCCTTGACCCTGAAACTGAGACAGGTCCTGAGTTTTCCCTCAGGGTATTAAACTCAGCTTTTTATGTTCTGACACTTACTCAGAATACCAAAATTGGCTACAACATTTATTTCCATGGTGTATGTGTTGCATCAAGTGCACGGCAATCTGGCAGTTAGAATGAGGAAGTTCTAGACAGCCAGCCAGACTTACCCAGTCACCTTACTCTACTCATAAATGCCTCTTGCCTTTGATGATACACTCAGCTTGTCAGTGGTCTCAGCTGCCTTTAAAATGGGAACTTTTCATTTTCCTGTCTATCCAGGGGCTTACATATGGGGAGACTTTCTGTTCACTGAAGGAATCAACGACAGAGATCAAATCTGCACACCTGAAAGTGTTCCATAGGTTTCCAAGAAAGAAGAGAATAACGTAAGAGTTAAATCCCTTCATCCGTGCCTCTGATCAAGATACTATGATTTGGGCTTCCTTGTCTTTGTAGCAATAGAGAGAAACATGTCAAAGGAAAGAGTCAAGAACAGCTTTGTTTGTGGCTTCCTGTGTGGTGAAAGCTGAACGT